GGGGCATTAATGCGCTTTACCCACCGCAATTTGGTACATTAACATGCTATAGATCAGTCATCATGAGGTTGATAAAGAACTAGCTTCTGTACAAAGCAAGTTAAGGAGCACATATTATGCACTGTGTCTGTAGTACTATACGACTGGGATCAATAGGGTTGTAGCATTTGAGGTTTGCATTTACATTTTCTAGTTGGCAAGCCCAGTCCATTAATCATGTGTCCAGAATTGAAGCTCTGTAATCATCTCAAAGAATAATAATAATTTTTTATGAGTAACTTTAATTTATAGCCTTTATTTTGTTTTTCTGTGTGTCCCCCCCATGCTTACTAGATAGGCCTGAGATCTCAGGCACGCGCCCCCCACCCCGCCCTGGCTCTAGCATGCTATGAGGACACTCAGACATTCTGGCAGTTGTGTCAGAAAGCCCCTTGGGGTTTCCAGCCCAGCGAAGTAGGGCTTGCCCTGAAGGAAGCTTATTAGCTCGTTAGCATCCGGGGGGCCTGTTTGCATAGGACTCCAACATGTGGATGGCTGAGCCCCCAGCTAGCTTCATTCTTTCTTTATCAACACCCTATCCTTCCAACCATTTTATCCCAGTCAGGGTCTCAGTCGACACCCTCTTTTTAATAAAATGCTATCTAAACATCAGTGGAGGACTCCCTGTATTATTTGTAATGGAGGCTGATTTATTATTATTGTTATTATTATTAAGTGCTTTATATTTACAGTAGAGTGTGACTGAAGGTGTTTCTGTGGCCCCACTTTACACTGATGCTTCTATGAGGCAGACTCCTGGACCGAGAAGCCCGCCTTCGGGACGGCCCTAGAGGAGCACCTGAAGCGGAGCGGCCGGGAGGTCGCCCTGCCCCTCGAAGCTTGCGTCATGATGCTTCTGGAGACAGGCATGAAGGAGGAGGTGGGTGACGGGTATTTTGACACGGATACTCGGGATGACGCCAAGCGTGCAGGAGCAGATTAGTGCGGAGTGGATGACAGGAGCAGTTCTCATCGTGTCTATGACAGGGAATGCTTCACAGCTTTTTAAGCCTTTTCATAACCCTAAATGGTGGATCATATTGCTTTAAAAGGTCCTCGTTTTCTACTATTTCAGTTTAAAAGCACTTAGAAATAGTCGTCCCTTAATATGAAAAAAAAAAGAGGATTAAACCCGTGAAATGTGTCTGGCTTAAAGGTGAGGTGCGGTTTCATGTTTGGCAATATGTATCGCTTCTCTTTCTGTGAAGATACCAGCCGCTACTTTCAGTGTCTAAGTATACAATTGAAACTAGACATGTCTCCATGGCCTGTTTGTTTCAACACACTGCTTCTGGCTTTAGCTTTTGTTTCTTATTGTTTTCTTTTTCGTTATGTTGCCGTAGTCTCTTTGGTGCTCGGTGGCACTTCGTTGATGCATCGTGACGCATCGGCCGGTTCCTGCGAGAGCATAGTGGCGGGTTAGCGATCAAAGTTAGCCCGATGCTAACCGACGTGCTTCTTGTCTCAGGGCCTGTTCAGAATTGCCGCCGGGGCCTCCAAGCTGAAGAAGCTGAAGGCAGCCCTCGACTGCTCTACCTCGCAGTTAGAAGAGTTCTACTCCGACCCACATGCAGTTGCCGGTATGAACGTTTCTCACCAAGGCCCTCGTTCTCTTCCCATCCACTTGACGACCCCAGACGTTCCCAGTTATTACACCTGCAAAGCTTATCTTGGCATGTAAATGTGTGTGATCAGCAATTTTTGGGGTCGTCAAGGGTAGGGTTGCGAGTAATGTTCTGTTGTGTGTTTTCATAATGTGTTCTGGGTAACACTAGGGACAGTTGAAGAGAAATTTTCCGAAGCTCACTCAGTCCATTTTTCCCCCTTTTTTGTTGTTTTTGAGATGAGACTGCCAATGACCTAAAGTCAAGCTCTCTGCAGTATTGTAATTTGACAGAGAACTTTCGTTAAATTTCCAGAACTCACTAAGTCCACAGAAAGGGGTACTTGGTTATGAACTTACGCCGTCCATGTATCCTGTGTACTGAGTGAGTTTTGGAAATTTGCATTACTAGAGCTCAGTGAAACTTCAGTGGGACGGCTGTTCGCTGTCATTTATCCATGATACATGCAGTGGAGCATCACCTTCAAGCCCCATGAACATAAAATTACTGTGAAGTTGAAGGTAGCATGATCTGGTGTTGGCATTCATGCACGCGTGGCACGGCTGCAGGTCACACTTATTTGCACGGCAGTCACACACCTGCCCAGTCACACTCCATGTCTCTGTATGCGAGTCTCACACTAAATGTTGTGTTGTCTGACCAGGGGCGCTGAAGTCCTACCTGAGGGAGCTGCCCGAACCTCTCATGACCTTCCATCTGTATGACGAATGGATACAGGCGTCCAAGTAAGATGAGGAATGCCCCTCTTTACCCAGTCACCCAGATTGATAGATACTTTTTTATGGTCTTAATCGCTGACGCTTGACCGAAGGCGTTTGTACCTACAGTGTGTCCGATCCTGACAAGAGACTTCAGGCCTTATGGGTGACTTGTGACAAATTGCCAAAGAACCATAAAGTGAATTTCAGGTGCGTGTCCGGCGTTAATCATGGGAAGTAATCAGTTTTGACTGTAAATACTTCTCTAACGTGAATGTTTTAATTTTCCTAAATAAAATTAAATTGCATTATAGTACTGGCCTCCAATGACAGTTTAAAGGCCTCATTTGCTTTGGCTCTGCTTCAGGTACCTCATCAAGTTCCTGGCCAAACTGGCTCAAGAGAGTGAAATCAACAAGATGACTCCAAGCAACATTGCCATTGTGTTGGGGCCCAATTTGCTGTGGGCCAAAACCGAAGGGTAAGGGGCATGTAGCAGATGGAGAAGGAAGCTCTCTTTTAAAGATTATTGATGTCCTGTTTGTTGTTGAGAGGTTTTTCAGTGTGTTCGTCACTGGCTTATACAGTGTATCACAAATCGTTTGGCTGTCCACTGCATGTTCTGCCTCTCCTAGCAGCTCTTCCCTCTTATAGAGCCATACTGGGATTCTAATTTTGTGATATACATACACTGGCCACTTTTATAGGTGCATCTTGCTAGTATTTGGTTGGACCCCCTTTTCCCTTCAGAACTGCCTTAATTCTTTGTAGCATAGATTCAGCAAGGTGCTTGAAACATTCCTCAGAGACTTTGGTCCATGTTGATACGATAGCATCATGCAGTTACTGCAGATTTGTCAGCCACACCTTTGTTATTCGAATCTCCTGTTCCACCACATCCCACAGGTGCTCAACTGGATTGAGATCTGGTGATTGTGGAGGCCATTTGAGTGCAGTGAACTCATTGTCATGTTCAGGAGACCAGTCTGAGGTGATAGGAGCTTTGTGACATGGTGTGTTATCCTGCTGGAAGTGGCCATTAGAAGCTGGGTACATTGTGGTCATAATGGGATGGACATGGTCAGTAACAATACTCTGGTAGGCTGTAGGATTTAAATAATACTCATTTGGTACTAAGGGGTCCTTAAAGTGTAAGAAAATATCCCCCACACCATTTCACCACCACTAGCCTGAGTATTTGATATTGCTGGATGGATATTTCATGTTGTTTACACCCAATTATGATCCTACTGTTTGAACGTTACAGAAGTAATCGAGACTCATCTGACCAGGCAATGTTTTTACTATGTTCTATTGTCCAATTTTGCTGAGGCTGTGCCCACTGTAGCCTCAGTTTCCTGTCCTTGGCTAACAGGAATGACACCTGTTTTGGCACCTGGTCTGGTCTTCTGCTGCTGTAGCCCAGGTGCTCTTCTGCGTACCTTGGTTGTAATAGTTGGTTATTAGTTATTGTTATCTTTCTATCAGCCAGAACCAGTCTGGCCATTCTTCTCAGACCTCCTGTCATCAACAAGGCATTTTCCCCCAGAGAACCGTCGCTCATGGGTGTTTTTTTTCCCACCCATTCTCTGTAAACCCTAAAGAAGGTTGCGTGTGAAAATCCCAGTAGATGAGCAGTTTCTGAAATAGCCTGTCTGGCACCAACAACCATGCCACGTTCAAAGTCACTCAAATTACCTTTCTCTCTTGTTCTAGTGTTTGACCATATGACCATTAATTGAAGCTCCTGATCTGTATCTGCGTGATTTTATACATTGTGCTGCTGACATATGATTGGCTGATTTAGATATTTGCTTCAACGAACGTATATACTTAAAGTGGCCAGTGAGTATACACATATACCACATATACTACAGTTTTTGCAGTATTTGTGATTTTTTTTGCAGTTTTAGCTTAGTATTAGGCATCCAAAAATGCTTCCTAAAGGCATCTTTTCCTTGCTAACAATCCATCCTGTCTCAACTACAGAGGGTGTTTTGTGACAGTATTCAATAAATAAATGTCATGTAAATGATTAGCTAAATTGTAATTAAAATTGTCATTATGATCCTTTTAATCGTTATTTAAATGCATTGGAAGCTAAGTCACAACAGATCGATCTCGCCTAGTCGATTGAATTCTCATCTATAACGGTGTTTTGCCTGTTCCGTCCTGGGGCTGAATTACATCCTAACTTCCCAAATTCTTAAACAAACTCTCCTAACTTTAGGATAACATTACGCTGTCCTAACTTTCACTGGCCACTATATAATGTTAGCTATAGCTAAACTTATTTAACCTGTATGGCTGCTCTTTTATTGCTTTTACACAACCAATAAAGTCTACAGGGTCCTCTCATGATATACCGCTAATATTATGTATATCGTGACATTTTTTAATATATCATGGGAATGAATTACAGTAGTTCCTCGTATCCACGGTTTCAGTCATCCTTGGTTTACCTTGGTCCAAAAAAACAAAACTTTAAATGTGTAACAGTACGTTTTCTTCCTATTTCCTTCATCCTTTGATTGCGCCAAATATTTCTTTATTGTTGTATCATCTCTGAAGAATTAGGCTAAAATGTCAGAATTCCTTTCATTTGAGAAAGTACAGTACTGTACAGTAATATACTATGTACTGTATTATCACTGTATTTTTTATCGTTATGTCATGAGCAGGGCTATGTAGCTATTGTGATGAGAGTTCATTTAAGATTTTGGGAAGTTAAGAAGCTTATGTAATACACTCTTCCTTTCTTAAGTTAGGATAGGAAGAATGACTTTGGACCCGTTCATCTATAATGTTATTTTTTCCCTAAATAAGGTCCTAACTCTGTTACCAAACAATCAAGATAAGATCTGTAAGTTAGGAAGTTTCTGTTATACAGCCCCAGGATGGAACAGACAAAATGCGGTTCTAAATGAAAATTCAATCGACTAGGCGAAATCGATCAGGTGTAACTTAGTATGCAATGTAATCAGTTAGATGGTAAGTTTCTTTAGAGCCCAACCACTGAGTATGATGGGTTACTCTGACAGATCATTTTAATGGTTGCTGGTATCATTTAAATTGAAATTTTAACAATCATTTAAATAACGTAAGTGACTATTTAAACGATTATTTAAATGACATACATATTGTCAGAAAGCATCCCCCGTACTCGACAGGTCCTTATGTAACAGGGTGTGTTGGAACCCTTCTGTCTTTAGCTTTGACCTCTGCTTTGTAGCTGTGCCGTTCAGCCTCTCTGGAGATGCCTTGACCTTCTGCCTTTCCGCAGCCGTCCTTGTCTTCCTGCCTGCCTAAGCCGTGGCTGACAGGCCGTTCGGATTCCGCGGCTAATCGTCCCATAAAGTGCTTTCGTCTGTTGTTTTCGCCTGTGTTGTCCTCGACACCCCACTCCGCTCATTCAGGCACCTTGAGCTAGGCCCCATTTTACTGGTTCTGTTTGAAGCAGGTCTCGTCTTCTCTTCCAGAGTCTCCTAATTTACTTCGAGACTCATTATCTTTCACTTTTGTGTTACAGGATGTTGTCGATTCCCCCACATTGTCTGTGTTTCAGTTCTGTCTTTTTTTACCATTTTGATGGTCTTATATAAATCTTACTTCTTGAATTATTTAACTTTTTCTTAATTTCTTGATCATGTTACAGTTTTCTTCCCAAATGTCTGATCGTCGGCAGACTCTGCAGTGTGTTTCTCATTTTGCTCTAATGAAATGCGGCTTGTAATTGACTGATCTGTGCTGAGCTATGAAAATTACGATCTTATGGAAATTTGGCTGCGCTCAGTGCTCTGTGCTCGGTCTGAGAATCCGCTTCCTCCTATAAATCATACAGCTGCATTTTTATTTCCCTTTAAACCGAGTGTCGTTTTACAGTGTGATGTTGAAAGTTGTCTGCGCTGCAGCGAACTTTGGCATTGGCTGTTGGCTTTCAGGAAGAGCTTCTGTTTATACAAATACAGATGTGTCTCTCCCGTTTGTGGCCAATACGTGTCCAGTGACTGAGAGGATAATAATGGAAATAAAGGACTGTGTGTGTGTGTGTTTTAATTCGTGTTTCTGTATCTCCTTACCAAGGAGCCTGGCGGAGATGGCAGCTGCCACTTCCGTTCATGTGGTGACCATAATCGAACCCATCATCCAACACGCGGCCTGGTTCTTCCCCGATGGTACGACCCCCCCTCTCTTATTCGCCCACGGCATAGCGCTCAAAGGGCTTTGGTGTCTTATTTAAGAGTTTCCTGTCTCGCAGTTGTTAAAGTATGTTTACATTGCTCTAATGATGTTTATTGAGAAGCAATTAGAAGATGGATGGATGTTTGTTTATAAAGAAGCTCGTACTGATGGGGGTTTTATCGAAAGTGGTCATATGTATGGGGAAATGCTTAATATGCTGCCAGGCGCCATTAATTATGTTTAAAAATAATAATAATAATAATTAAATAAATGTATGTAAAAATAAATTTTGGGCAGCTGCGTGCCTGGCAGCACTACTCTACCTAGTGCGCACTGTGTGCCGTACGATAGTTGCTGGAATGGAGCCCAGTCGTGTGTCGGGGATGGTCTGTCATGGAAAAGTGGCAGATGTAACACCAGGACTCGCTGTGCCTTCCAGATGTGGACTTCAATGTGTCAGGCATGTTTGCGATGCCCACGCCCACTGCAAACCACACCAACCACCTAGGCGCACCCGAGACGGAGTCGGGTGCCACTGACAGGAAGCGGCCCGGCAGCGGGTCAGCGCCGGAGGCCGAGGTCACACGCAGAGACAGGTATCCATCCCACCACAGGGCTGCCAGCAGGCAGGACTCAAGATCCGCTGTGTCCGCCTTCTATGTTGTGGCAGAGGAGTCCATTGTAGTTATGCAGGACTGAGTGGACAATGTTTAACTACATTCCATTTTCCACATTTTTATGTGTGTTGAAAGCCAAAGGAATAAAATTCATTTTAATTGATACAGTTCTAAAAAAAGAAAAAATCCATTAATCTCATAACTGCAGCCCAGTACTGGGTAAGCAGTTATGGAAGATGGATGACTTTGTGCTGGCAGGTGCTGTGTCTAGTGGAATTTGTTTGTGTAGTTCTCTTTATAAGAGCTCATTGCTGCATTGGTATATATCCTCATATGTTTACATGGCTCCTGTCCTCTGTAGTGTCATTCTAACCAGAGTGTTGGCATTTTTCATTTCAAACAAATGGTCCGTTGACATCATGTCCGTTGAGAAATGTTCTCATGCTGAAACAGATATAAAGCTACAATTTTACTGCTAATTGTTTAAATCTGAGATTTCTCAAATTGGATACATCCCTAAAATTCAAATTCTTAGGTAATCATCAACAAGGCCAGAGTTTAGGGCTTTTTGCAATACATACATGTAAAATGCCAACAATGCCGACCACATAATTTCTTTACTCCATTTTCAATCAATGCTTTTCCACTCTTAATTTCAGGGCCAAGTGGAACCAATGAGGTTTTTTTTTGCCCAATAGTCATGTGACTTTTAAACCCCCCCCCCTCCCGGGGGCCCTTTCTCATGTCTACATGCTTGCTGTTTCTGTGCTTGCTGCATTCTGTATGTTGGAGTATTTTAAAATGGCCTTTGCAGTTTACTACTAATAAAATTATTAAGTATTATTAAGTTATTAAAGCTCTTTTTTCCACTTCCTTTCCACATATCATATCCTGCACATATTGCTTGATTAGAAATGGAACAAATATAAGTAAATTTATATATATATATACATATAATACACACTTCCATTTAAGTCTGTCGCTCTGTCTAAACAGGTGTATTTAGTAGCATATTTGTGTAATGGTCCTGTCTGTACATGGAGGGGGAGGAACTCCGGTCCAGTCTGTACATGGAGGGGGAGGAACTCCGGTCCAGTCTGTACATGGAGGGGGAGGAACTCCGGTCCAGTCTGGCCTTGGGATCCGCTGGCCTTTGTTCTCCCTCATATTTTCCTGGATGTGCTCAAAGCATCATTTGGACAGGAACAGAGCTCTCCCGGTGTTCCTGATGTCAGTATTCATACTGTGTTGGAAGGCCTTGAGTTCCCCGCCCTCTGCTGTACGGGCCCCTGTCCTCTTTGCTGTCCTGGGGTCCTGGTGTGCCTCTCTCTTCCTGCAGTTTTCATACCTGGCCCTGGTGTGTCTCCATCTCGTCTCTTTAGCTCCGCTAACAAATTATCGGACCACACCCCGCGTAGAGGCGGCACTCTTAATAGAAAGCAGCACGTTTCCCCTGCGTTCCAGCCCCCCCTGCCACCGGTTGAGGCTGGGGGGGCTGCCCTGGTGCAGCCTCTGGCCGAGCTTCAGCTCCAGCAGCAGGCTCAGCCTGCGGCCGTAGATCCCTGCCTGCTCAGCCTGGTGCTGGCCATGCAGGGGCCCCTAAGCCACAACCCGGATGAGAGCTGGTAAGGACTGCTACAGAAACTAGAGGCCTGCTGCATGCTCTCAGTCAACGGTCCACTTTTCCTTCCAACTAATTCCGGTTTCTTTTCACCTTTTATTGTTCATAGTTGAATATATATTTTTTATGCAAATCCTTGTTTTCTCACCCAGTCCTGAACTGGATACAGGAAGCCTTCATGAAAGAGTACGGCTAAGTCTGGAGCAGCTTCCACCTGTGGGATCTTTCTGTGACTTTTTTTTTTTGCTGGTCTGACAGCACAATCCCGCCACTCTCTTAATTGCTGTTTTCACAAGAGCCCCCTCTAGCTGCCTTAAGCATGCACTGCACTCTAGTCTCTGAAGCCTTCCTCTCTCCTGTGAACACTTTGCATGCTCTGCCTTGCTACATGATACTATTGTTTAATTTTTTTCCATGTTTGGTGTCAAATTGTATGAGTTAATGCTTTAACTTAAATGAACTGTATAGATCAGTGGTTCCCAATCCGGGTCTCGGGGACCTTTAACCGGTCCATGTTTTTGCTCCCTGCCAGACAGTCCATATTTTTCATGGTAGGGAGCAAAAGTCTTGACTGTCTGTGGTTCCCTGCGGATCAGATTGGGAAACACCGGTATAGGTGAACAGGAATGAATATCAGTGTCATGTTCAACATGTTCACTGCTGCTTTCGTCAGACCTGACTTTTCTCATCCCTCCGCCATGAACAATGCCATCCTTTGTGATGTAAAATACTTCCTAGCTCTCTTAAAGCAGCAGAGCAAGCTGTTGGCTGCCAGTGTAAATCTGAGCCCCATGTTTACTGCATGCTCCATTTACAGAGAGCTTATGTCAGTTTCGTTTAAACATAAACACCTCATCAGTCCTCCGCCGTTCAGCACTGTTATCACGGTAACGGTCACCGTCTTGTATTCCTTAGCTCCTCGAAGATGCGTGACGCCACCTCCACACCCCCACCTCAGAAGAATGGCTCAGCAGGCGGTCAGGTGACTCCCCCTAGCCCTGTTGCTGTGTCCGGACCGGGCCAGCTCAGCGTGGGGGCCCTGCAGACTGGCTCCATGGGTCCCAGTCCTCATCTGATACGCAGAGGTGACTGACACCCCCCTCCCCCCAGTATTTGGGGCTGGATGTCGTGTCATGGGTTAGGGCAGGGGTGGCCAATTCAGAAAGAGCCATTGTGTGTGCAAGTTTTTGCTGCAACTCTGTAAGTAAATTACTAATTAGAGGACTGATTGGCTGAAGAGTCCTCACACCTGGGTTTGAACAGCTGACCTAAAGGTTATCCCAGACACCTGCACACACAGCTGCCCTTTGCGGATAAGATTGGCCATCCCTGGGTTAGGGCTATAATCAAATGGTTGCTGGTTTCAATCCCATGATGTCACTGTTGGGCCCCTCTAGCTAGGCCTTTAAACTCACTTGCTCCAGGCTGACCCCTGCTGTTATCGACGGCACGTCACGTTGGATAAAAGAATCTAAATGAATAAATGTAAATGTTATTTCCTGCATCCATCTTGTTCTTAGGTACAAAGAAACCAGCTCCTGCTCCACCAAAACAAATCCCAGTCCAACAAACAGTACAGTCGCACTCAGGAACAGCTCAGCCCCCAGTTACATCCCCAAAACCCATCTCCAGCCCACCGCCTAGTGCCAACCCAAATCCCAACGCGCCGCACCCGGCGGCACTGCCCCGTCGGCATTCCACCTACCAGCCTCCCATTCATGCCCCCAGCCATCCACCTCCCCAGCCCCCCATGCAGGCCGCACCGCCGGCTCACCCTAAAACCTCCACCCCGATGATGGAGTATTGGACGGAGCAGTCGCCCCCCAGCACCCCGACCCCTCCTGACACTCCCCCTCCCTCAGCATCTCTCACCGACACCCCGTCCTCCTACCCCACTGGCTCCCTCCCTCGTTCGCGGCCCGTTCCCAAGCCGAGGAATCGACCCAGCGTGCCCCCACCACCCCAGCCTCCCACTTCCAGCGGTGACGCTTCCAGTGACTTATCCAGGAACAGTTTCGGTAAGGATGATCCGCAGGTTTACTTACGTGTGACTCACAGTCCTCTTTCAGCAGCACCAGTATGCCCAGTCTAGTACAATTTACATTAGTAACACTGATCAACTCATTTTTACTTTTTTTTTTGTCAGATGTCAAAATAAGTGAATCTTACTGTATTTTTGTGCTGAATTCAAATATGTATTCAGATTTTCCGTATCACGCAAGGGTTTTGAGTGACACAATTAAAGATAATGCTACATGTATATTTACAGTATATGTGCATGGTAGAAGTGACTCATCTAAAAGCTGGATGTATATGATACTCTGCTGTACTTGGCCTCAGGAACATCCCTCTTAAGGGTCAAGCAGGAGTCAGCCTGCATACTGGGACTCCACCAGCCTTGATATTGATTTTCCATATCAGAAATGTCCTGATGACGTATCAAACGTGTTGCAGTCTGTGAACTTCAGCAAAACAGACTAACTGTACTCTGTGCCCTTCCCTGATGTCTTACAAATTTCCCAAGTAGAAATAAAATATTTAATAAATTAAACTCTAATACATCCATCCTTTTCCGGAAACAGCTTGTCCTATGGGCACAAGGCAGGGAATAACCCAGGATGAGGGGCCAACACAACACAGGGTACAGTCACATGCCATTTGTTCACACAGACACACTGACAGCAACTCCAATTATCCTCAGCATGTTTTTGGACTGGGGGGGACCGGAGTAGCGGGAGGAAACCCCACAACGACACGGGGAAAACATGCAAACTCCACACACATGGAACCCTGGCGGAGACTCAAACCCAGGTTCCAGAGGTGTGAGGTGACAGTGCAAACCACTGCACCATAATGCCGCCCCAACACCTATACATTCATAAGGAATTATATACCAGCAATATAACCTATAAATGATGTCACTCAAACGCTAGGGGTGATAGCGAAATTCTGAGTGCATTTCAGAAATTAGCATTAAAAGTACGTAAATGACGCCCTTTAGTTTTTCTGTGACAAAGTCTTTGTTGACCAGTGTAATTTTTTTAGAGATAGGATTTCAAAGTGATACTTAAAAGAAGGAACTGTTGTTGCTTTGGGCTAAAGGATACAATCTTTAGTACTATTTTTCTAAAGATTAGGTCAGCTTCGTTGTTTGTACTTTTTTCCAGTTGTATGATCACTTGAATAGACTGCTTTAAAGTCCCCTGTCATATTTTAGAGCTTTTCTGCAGATCCATGTATCCGCCCTCCCCATTGTTACACATAAAGGTCTTTCCATAGAACATGTGCACTAACACCTTTGTGTCATAATGCCTTCACAGGTTGAGGATCTTTCTTTGAGGAAAGGTTTGTAATTCAGCGCCATTCGCAGCTGCCGCAGTCAGCTTTTTTGTCTGCTTCGTTGCTGTCACTAGGGTCATATGGTGCGGCCCTTTGATCTGCTAACTCCCCCTTGGCCTGCTGTGTACGGCCTGCTGTGTACGGCCTGCTGTAACCCGTTTGTCTAGGCTTGCAAAGTCTCACATTTCTGGCTAGTTAAACACAAGACAGCATTTATTTTGCCTTCATGTTTTTACTGAACTGCTTGGCTGAACTCACCACATGTAACATGCTTGACATTTATGAATTTGCATTGTAGGCTGTATTGTTAATAGCAGCATGAACGTTCTACATGAACTGGCATTTTTTTCCACAGTGAAAATATGAACATGCATGCATTTCTATATTTACACCAGTGGCCAAAATTGTTGAAACACTTCCAGTTTTTTGAGATTGCAGAAGTTTATCCAACTTTTGCTTCAGTTACTTATTTAATCCTCCTTGTATGATATTTGTAACATTCTCAGATTTTTTTTTTTTATAAATGTTACCGCCAATAGTAATTTTTAAAGTGTAATGCCAAAAATGCTGGGTGTCTCCACAATTTCGCCCACTAGGGTAAATGAACAGATATCTGTGTGAATGATAGTTATTTCAAATGATAAATACAAGCAATTATCATTGCTTCTATTTTAAAACTTGAGATTAAGCAGCTGTTATTCCTGTTATTATTCAGACAGCTGCATGAGGGAATGCCAAAAGTGGAATACTTTCATCTGATGATTTGATATTATTGTCCTATTTAACGGTTTACCTGGATTAAGGTTTAAAACTTTCCCAGTGCTTCGTGAGAAAGTAATATTAGCTAACAGGTGGTGATGATAATGATGATATTTGAGTTGTTTTATTTTAATAGTGCTGATTTGCATTGAGCTGCTTTGCTTAAGGCAGAGAGGAAGCCAGGGTAATGATATCATCAGTGGCCAGTGGGAATAGCTGTTACCCAGCCCCCTTAACACCTGCTTTCAGCTTCGCTTCCTGTGGCTTTGCGCACCAGTGTGTGTCTAACCCTGGGCTGTAGACCAGTCACCCATGGAACTGGTGTTGAGCATTATCTCTGCGGGATTCTGTCTGGGCTTTGCCTATATTGTTTGAAATTACTATGGGTTGGTCTTTTTTGGTTCATGTGAAGTTCATGCAACTTTCACTCACATACAGGTATGCCTGTCAGTTCAGAAAAAGAATTTGCCATATTAATTTCTACTGTTGATGTACTTCTGAACTATTTCCCATTTATACGTGAGATAATCCTGCTGTTAATAAGGGTTAGTAACTGTGGATTTTTTTTTTTTTTTTTTACAGAATTTTATCATAGAATATATTTTAATAATTGAAAAATTCTAATAATAAATATTCTAATTGAAAAATTTACAGAGCTCTATGTAATATAGATATATATTTATATATTATATATAGATGCATAATTAGAGCCTAAGGAGTTTTGAGCATTTGCAGCACAAAAAACAGCTTATTTAGAGAGTCAGAAAACGGGTGGACTGGCCGTAGGTAAAACAGTAACTTGCTATGGTTGCCGTCCTCTCTGCTCAGATTCAGCTGTGGCTCACAAGGCTGAGAATGCTGCCCCTGTAACCAGGCCTGCTGTGGACCAGCAGGCTGTGAGCCTCACCAGCAGACAGATTACCGTCATCACGGCCAAGGACACCAAGCTTGAATCTGAAAGCACTGCGCTGTGAAGGGGGTGTTCGGCCCCCTGCATCTTAAATGCCTCTCTCTCTCTGCCTCAGGCTGTATTCTCTCTCTCTCTCTCTCTCTCAGACATACACAGAGATGTGCACACACCAACCCAGCTGTACATGAGCTCACCACTGGATAATTGCAGTCAGCTACTTAAGAAATTTGAGTGCTGCGAGTAATATTGTTGGATCACAATTCCCACTGTGCTTCCCTGAGGAAGCTTTCATGGAACTTGTAGATGAAAATACTGCAAATGCTGAAATTCAGACCATTCATGTTTATAATTGACAGGTTGTAAGCTATATATTATAGTCCAGAAAAATTAGCAAAAAAAAAAAACAATTGTTCTGGTTGTTGATATTTTAGGGAAGTGATCTAGTAATTTCGGGAAAGTAGAAGCCAAAAACTGTGTTGCTTTAACTTTTTGCTGTTGATTGCAGGTTTCAGTTACCAGCCCAAACCATTTTTACAGTGTATAGAATAATTCATCTTTTTATATTTATTTACATTCAGCACATTCCCATTACTAAACGGTCGAGCAGTTTGTTCTGGCAGAACATTCTAGGGATTGTCTATGACCGAGAACTTGTTATGAATTGCAGCTTGAATGATTGTAATCTGCCCTTTAGTTAACTTTTAGAAACTTTCACTGTTTTGTGACTGAAGATCTTAATGTGGTGTTAGAATGAAAGCTCATGAAGAAGTAATTATCAAGCAAGTCTGAGACATTAAATTATTTGAGCGCTCTTCCTCAACTTAAGCGATTGGCTTACGAACAAAGCAAATAGCAGTCGTGCAATTGCACAACTAACCTGGTGAAAGTTCTGTATAAATGAACATCTACTTGTCATTGTTTCCACTGAGCTGTTTTGTTTTGTGAATATATATTTCTTTAATTTCATAAAGCAAAAACTGTGATAGCTATGAAGTGGTAAACCTGCTCGGACAAGAAATGCTCCATCGTCTTTTCAATGACTCTCTAAGTGTTGATGCTCCACTTCCAGTAAAGAAAACCTAAATGGTACTAAGGTCAGGATTTACTGTAATTCCCAATTTGATCATTTGTACATATCCTTTTTCATCATTTACTGGGTTTTTATATTGTTTTTTTGCTGCCTTTTCTTTTTCACATTTACGTGCACTTTTGCAAGCCATTCTGCCTTGTCTGTACCCACAAGGCACCTTTTAAGAAAGTTTTTCCAAATAATTATCAATCTCTGGTTGCTCTTTTTAGGCACAACATTCTTTAAAATGTTCTTTCCGGTGCAAACAAGCTTTATAATGCTTGGAACACTCCCTATCAAAAGAATAAAATTACTACTGGTGAGATAAAACAGTACCCATTTTCCCCTATCATTTCCGTAATTCAGCTGAACAACCATACTCTCCAAATTTCCAGAAGTAAAATCTCCATCTAACTTATGCATAACTGTATCTAGAACAACCGCTGTGTATGCTTTTCAAGTCTAAAATGCCAGGTTCAATGATCTCTATCTGATCTCCATACATGGCGAAATGAAATCCTTATATAGAATGACACATAATAATTTATTTCTGTATTTTTTGTTTAGACATATGACACATGCAGTTAGCGTCATAAACTTTTTATGGGAAAATATTCATAGTCAGCATAACTTATTTGACAAACATTTAAAAAGATCTTTAATGCAAAACTAACTAACTGCATCTGGCAGATATTATAATACATTCCCACAACCTTGAAGATCTTTTAAGACAAAAACGTGGATTTCTCAGATACTGTGGCTTAGTATTATTCAATGCAGAGGAAAAGAAATGCCTAGTGGGTTGAATGCCCCTTGTCCCAGATCTAAGGATGGGCAGGCTACACTATTTCTGGAAAGATAAAAAAAAAAAAAAACAGTTGTCCATTTAAAGGGCCCTTAACCTTCAACTGGGGTATAAGGGGCAATTGATGGGTTTGCTGTTCATCTTCAAGAATTGATCTATCTGCAATATGGCACTGTGCCCAAGGCTCGTGGGCGTTTTACTTGCACAAAAATGTTCTGAGGGGCAGAATGAAAAATGTTTGGTTCAGAGAGACAACCAATCAGATTGTAGAGGAGGTGGGTCTAAGCAACTAGAGGAGGCAGGACCAGCCAATCAGATGTCTTGGTCCCGCCTCCTCTAGTTACTTGGATCCACCTTCTAAAACTCCTCTGAGCGTGATGGAGCTGCAGTACAGTTTCCTGTGTCGCATGAGCTTGATCCAGGGTGTTTTTATGTGCTAGCATCCTGATAATGAAAGGCCCCGCTGTTCTCAAAATATATAGAAACATATTAAATAGCATAGAACTGAATTTATAAATTGTACAGTATTCTGGATAATAATTATAGGTTTAGTCCCCCTCAGAAGATACTTGCTGCTCTCATGTCAAGCACTCGAATGATTGGCTGGATGTTAATGACTTTCATTCCTCCAAGTCTCTCTCCTTTTCCTCCCATCATCTGGAGCGTCAAATCTTGAACTGTCATATAAATCTGCCAAATTTCCTAGTACCGTCAATTCCTCTGTTCTTAAGACCCTCCAACATAACTGTGGCTGTCTCCTGTTAAACTTGTCTGGCTGTTTCTATTTTAAAGACTACAGATCAATCTTTTCTGTCCTTGTCCAGCCAGATTCCTCCCACTCAGGAAAGGACTTGAAGCTCACCTTTTATTAGTGTGATTGCAGAGCAAACACACCATTGTCATGTGTCGCTTCTTGATCTTGATCTTTTTCAGCCTGATTTTTGGCATGCTATCAGTTTTCGAGATATTAACCCCAACTTTCACTCGTCCATGCTATACCGGCCAGGTGTGCTTGTATACAGCTATTGGACATGTGCACTCGTTCTCCAGGTTCATTTTTCTGGAGAATCATTTTTTTTTCATTATCAGAGGCTTCCTACTCAGTCGACATACATGCCGCAGCCACCAAACTTGATGTGTTAAATCAGGCCATGTATCCCATCATGCATTGAAAGCCAAATTAGCTTGCGCTTGTCTTATTGTGTTTTTTTAGCCCTCCTTCCTCCTGTTGAGTTTGATTTTTTAAAATCTCAATGCCACAGTCACCATACAGCATAAGCTACACCCTAGCAAGCACCCTGACTAGCATAGCGACACCATGGCAACCACCATAGATAGTATGATAACCACCTAGCAACACCCTGTCACCCACCTTAGCGACCTTAGCAACACTTCAGCAACCAGCTTGTGCAGAATAGCAACACCATAGATGCCATGCTGCTGCTCTGTGGTTGCGATGGATGGATGGATGGATGTACTTTATTCATCCCGACTGGGAAATTCTTTTGTTACAGCAACAAGCATAAATTAGACAACAGCATGCCACAGTACACATAGTGTAAGTCTAGTAAAAGGATATGTTTAAAATAAAATAAGATAGAAAACAGGATGCACAAGTGAAACAGATTCCATCCATCCAGCTATTTTCTGTAACAGCTTGTTGAGCCTATGGGCACAGATTAGGGAACAACCCAGGATGGGGTTCACTCCCACATGCACACCTACAGGCAATTGATAACTCCATTTAGTCCCAGCATGTTTTTGGACTGTGGGGGGAAACCGGAGTACCCAGAGGAAACTCCACAATGACATGGGGAGAACTTGCAACCTCTACACACATGGAGCCATGAGGGAGACTTGAACCCTGGTCCCAGAGGTGTGAGGTAACAGTGCTTGCCACTATGCCACCCCTGAAATAGATCCCATAAGTGATTTATGGTGGTTGCTACGGTGTTGCTATGCTGCAAGTAGGTGGTTGCTATAGTAACTCCCTAGAAACCACTTTACCTAAGCAACACCTGGCAACTACCTAGCAGCAGCTTAGCAACCACCTTGAGTAGCATAGCAACACACTAGCGACCATCTAGCAACAACCTTAACTACCTTGGCAATGCCATAGCAACCGCTCTAGCATACACCATAGATGATATGCTTCTGCTACTTGGATACTAAAGATAGATGGGGGATGGATGTACTTTACATGAAGAGACAGTCAGTTGGTTGGGGCTGCAGCATTGCATCCTCTGGGCTCACTGGGATGTTCAAGCAGCAGTATTCTCCATGTTGGAAATCTGTGGCTATACATGCAGTAAGAAATCAACAAAATCCTGGAATCTTTCAGGAAAGATAATGACATCCATATTCTATAATGAAATTACAGTTAACTGACAAATTTTGCAACATTTATATATATTCAAAATATTACAATACAGTAAAATGACTTGAGCTAACCTTGCAAACCTGAGTAATAATGATTACCTGCCACAAATGAATAATACAACCAGGAAATAGCAGCAGCACGCCAGCCACTCCTTCTGTCTGTGAACACAGAAATCTTTCCGAGAACTCCACGTAATACTCTGCACAAGATGAAAAGTAATTTCAAAGCAAGGTGCTAATCCTCATTTAACTCTTACCTATCTTTGTCTTCACAACATTGTTAGCTTTTTAAAAATTGTCAAAATTTACATGCTAGACGAACACCTAAATAATAATAATAACAATTAGTCATTGTTAATGACTATGAGCACCAACTGTGACGCTCAGTCCAGTAACTTACTGATGGTATAAGTACATTTTCTGGGCACAATGTGATTATTGTAAAAAACGTGGTCTGGCATTCGTATTTACCGGAGGTGGGGACTTGAATCACTGACTCATGAATTGACTCGGACTCAAGTCACAAATTTGATGACTTGTGACTAGACATGGAAAGATTTGGACTCGACTTAGACTTGAGGGTAAATGACTCGAGACCCTATAACTCAAGAAGACTTGAGGTTATACTCCCCCTCTGGACACAATAACATTAATTTTATAATTTCAGCGTACATTCATTCTCTGCCTGAATGCAACGTTTCCTGCAATAGCTTGCTGGAAAGATGCATCATTCTATGCATATATATATACGGACATAAAAACTGTGTGAGGACAACTGTGAGTGGACACTCTATTTTCGACCTATCACTGCCTATAAAGAACGTATCCTGCAATGTACTGTGGAGGGTTTTTGCTGCAGCAACCTTTAATCACTAAAGGTAAGAAAAACTGACATAGGTAGGGACTCAAGTTACATGACTCACACCTCGATTTGAACACGAATCACAAATTTGATTACTTGTGACTTGACAGCAATGATAGAAAGACTTGGACTAAACTTGGACTTGAGGACAAATGATTTGAAACTTGACTCAGACTGCAATGTTTTGACTTGGACTTGCTAAGAAATTATTTGTTCCCCATCCTTGGTATATACAGTACCAGATTACTGAGGAGTCCATTGAATGGCATCTCGTGTTACATCAGTTAGGTTGCATGTTGCAGGCTATGTATGTAATATGTAGTGTGTTTTATAAATGGGAACCTAACGTGAGTTAGAATTCAGCTTTCTGCTGTCACATTAGGAAACTAGGGCCGGATCTCCAGAAATAGATGGTGGAAATATATTTTAAATATATTTTCCTTTTAGACTTGCAAACAAAACAGAATTAACAATCAGTGACAAAGTGCCAAAAGTATGAGGGCAATTAAGTCAGCCAGTCTACAGAAACTGTAGAAAAAACAACAACAAAGGTATTAGAATACATATAGAATGTTTATTTTCCAGAACTAGCTGTCTTTACTGTACACAATACAAAATAGGTATCTTGTATCACAAGCCATAATGTGGCCCGCATTATTTCAGACCAATATTGAACATTTCACAGTAGCAGCACACCTCTACTTAAACATAAAATTAACAAAAAAATGTAAAAGCAGCAAACAGTTTGATTTCAATTTATATTTAATATATTGTTGAATAAAATTATCTATATTCAAATAAATTCATTTAACTAACCATATTTAGAATTTGTAAAATGATCTGATCATTAAACCTGAAAACGCTAAGAGTTCTATTTCTTTCTGAAATTCTGAAAGTTAATCTATAACCTAGTAACATATACTTTGAGAATCCATGAGATATATGCCAAAATGTTTATGTCAGCTATATGGATTTTAAAACAAAATGTATCGTTTCCAATTCTGTTTTATTTGAACAAATTCATAAGAGCAGCTATTGAGCTGCCCAGAAATAAAGCAGGTTAGTTTTAATGCTACATTGATGTTCTTGGGACACTGCTAGTATGTGGCTGTTCAGTGAAATTCTCAGGTGTAGCCAGTGAAAATAATACCTAATACCTTTGGCTGAAGGTGTTGGCACGTGGTGGTCACATACCGCCTTATCAAATAGCATGGGCTTCTTACGTTATATTGATATTATTTGTGGCACTACAGTTAGAAGACCGTTCCTGTAAACCTGAAGCACATCAAGCAATACCAAAAATGAAAAATGTCTGCATGCACAGTAAGACCTGTTAGGTTTTCACATACTTGCGCTTTCCAGTGTCTGAAGCTGTGAAGGAGGTTATAATGGACTAACAGCACAATACTCAGGCAAGAAGTGAGAACCAGCACAGGTATATCACAGTAATATTTTCATATCCCAGTCTTTGACTGTGTATGCATTGCTGTATTAACTTCAGTTTAATATGCAAAAAATAAATTATCAACAAATAAAAATTCGGTTGAACATTTTGTATACTACTGTGATATATGAATATGGTCTCATTATCCAGTTATAAAAATCAATTGCAAAGGACATTACAGTGAAACAATAACGCTATACAAGTATGTTCATATTGTTTTGCTTGTACCTTTAGTCCATGATGTAATGTATTATGTTATACTGAGATGTATAATGTATGATTATACCATCATTCTTCATTTCTGAATTAAACATTAGCGGCATTATACTATATTAGTATAATGGATGGACTGTTTCCTCACGCCTGCAGAGGGTTAATACCCCACCTCTGCACTGAACGTATGGATAACCAGTAACTTCTACCTCTATATATCATCACACGGCAGAGATGTGATTCCACCAATCCTTGATGCTTTATGCGACACTGTTTCCCAGTGAGGCACCTTGTCACCCACCTGTAGACATATAAACAATTTTTTTTTTTTTTTTTTTTTTTTTTTTTAAATAAGTGTCAGTTTGACAGTTCATCATCCTTTGGCGATAGAAGAAGAAAAAAAACAGCTGATCATCCTTTGTATCACCTCCGAGACATAATACTTTTTCAGCCAATCCAGCAAATCCATGATTTGTTCATCTTTTACCGAAAAATAATTCTTTGTGTTGTGTTCCAATGTCTAACTGATAAGCTGAGCCTTTTAAATAATCTGCAATGGAATTGTGCGTTTTAACCCACTTTGAATGATCATAGTAATAAACGCTTGCTGCCACTTGATCTGCTGTCCCACTTTAAATTTAAATATAAAACAACCTTCTATAAATAGATATTGCCAGACAAGACATGTCTGAAATACTGTATATGAAGTTATGTTAATTTTCCCACATGAAGTTGATATTCTCCGAGGTAAGTGAGTTCTCCAGTAGTCATCAAAGTGCTCTGTGTGTGTCCCCGTCACACTGGCATGAGTGAGATCTGAAGGCTCCCAGCCAGCTCTCACCAGGCCAGGGGTGAAGTCATGTGGGAACTCCTGCTGTATTCCACAACCTGGGTCTCATGAAGCGCTCTCTGCAAAACAGCCCATTACTGACAAGCGCTGGGGCAGACATGACACTGACACTATACATGCATCGCTGGTTATAACATCAAAAGAGCATTTCTAGATTCAACACATGATATCTCTTTGTTATATTTTTATTACCCTAGGAGATTTTTTAGCAAAAGCAAAAATCCCTACCTAAAAGCAAGAAGTCTGTTTGTTTCACATTGTATTGTGGCTAATACACCAGCTCACCTCAAACTTTGAGATGAATTCGGCGAAAATACCAAAGAAGGCTTCTGTGGTGGTGGCCTTGCTGTCTTCTCCAAAGTAAGACGCGACCTTGGAGAATTCATCCATGGCACGGTGCTGCAGGGAATCCAGACACTGCACTGTGGGATGGCAGTTCTCTAAGAAGCTCTGACACACCAGTCAAGGTACCAGTCGCAAGTCGTCCAGGTACAACAGCCCTACAAAGCACACATCTCAAAGAAGCTCTACTTATCTGAATGAGAGCAGCTCTGTGCTGTTCTGGATTCCATTAGCAATGCAAGGTAACAGTCATGTAATACACATAAGATAAATATGTTATATAATATTTGAATCACATTATAAACAAAACAGTCAGTGTTAGTGTATGTACTTCATGTTTTCCTATGCAGAATATTAAACTATAGTTTACAGGTTATTTAGTTACATGTCCATCATTAAGTGTATCTTGTAATTAACACAAGAGTTGCATTAGATGAGTCTTCATTTAAACATGCAGAATAAGAGGATTTCTTTTCCAATAGGCAAAAAAGCAGACAATAGATAGGCAATAGATAATGGACATTTTTGAACATTTATTTTAAATTGGCTTGGTTGCCAATTAAATCCAACCACCCATCTTCTAATTGCTTATCCTGGGCAAGGTCACAAGAGGTTCGGTTGTGCTTTGACTTGAAAATTATCAATTAGGCCAGGATTCAGACACAAAGTTTTCAGGCCCGAGCCAAACCACGAAGAGATGGTTCACTATTATAAATTATGTGAGCTGTACCTGCGCTGATGATGCCCTGCTCACTAAGCCCTGCTCACTAGAAGAACCAAAAGCATGACTAAACTGCAGAGGTGGCAATTTCAGGTCCAGAAAGTACAAATCCAGACCAAGATTTTGTTTCAACCAACCAGTTGAATACTCTGTGACTCTTTATGCTCAACTGGTTAGTTGAAAGTAAATCATGGTCTGGATTTTTACTTTCTGGACTTGAAATTGCCAATGTGCTAAACTGAGCTGGTTGCTTCACCACCATCTTATTGGTCAAAATGCACAGAAACAACAGGTGATCTGCATCGATACGCATGGATATAGTGCATATATTATTCATTATTAATATTTTCACACATCACAATGTATTGATGCATTCCCAGTAACTCAAAATTTGAAAATTTCCAACCTCCTACTTTGGTGTTCATTTTCAGATACTGTCAAAAATTAATATCTTTGTTATGTTTTGCTCTGATTATCTGTAATGCAGCTGTAATTTTTTGGGACATGTAAAGGATACACTCATCACAGCAGCAAAGTGATCTTCATCATTAGTAGGCATTTTTTGGCAGGCAATCCTGATATCCTTGATAGTTGAATGAATATCATGAAGGTCTGCTGTAATGGATTTTTGATTGACTGAAGGGAGAGTGATATTAAATGTATTAGAAGAAAACCACTATGGGAACCAGAACTAATTAGTATAGTCACAATTTCAACTGGTATCATTGACCCAGATGCTTTCTTCAAGTCTATTTTTGCTGTAAACAACTTCTACTAATCTGTTTTTTAAGTAATTGCAGGTATAAAAGGAAATACAATCTTCCATAGCATAATTTAAAAATAAACATAGTATAAAGTTGATCTAGCCCAAGACACTGAGGACACATATGTCCATTTTCACCCAAAAATTCAAGCACAGAGCATGCACTCAAATGGACAGAAGAGTTCCATTACCTTTGGCAGCAAACGGAACAGTTGAAAGATCCTTGGCAAAGCCTACAAGTTCTGGAAAGTGTTGGCTTAATGATTTGGCGAGAATGTGTAGGAAAGTTGATTTGCCATCCACAGTTTTTGTAGTGCTGAGCTACAAGAAAGGAGAAGTGGTTCAACGGGCTACAAATTACTTCTTAGATACAACTAAAAGTAGATTTCAAGGCCAATAGTTGAAACAGCTCTTGTCTTCATTCATCTATCTCTGTAACTGCTTGTCTAATGTAGGCAAACATTCACATACACACACTAATGCACACAAGTTAGATACACCAATTTACATAAACTACATGATTTGACTGTGAGGGGAACAACACAAAGAGAAATAATAATAATAATCAGGACAAAAACAATAAGGAACCCTAACAAGAAAACTCAATTGACTCCATACAGATTTTTTTGTTACTATTTACTGAAAGATTGTTTATTTCTTGTTTGAAACACATCTAACAAGTTGAAGTCACTAAAATGTCCTGCTACAGAAGTTCTACTGAAATGTCATGTTAACCTACATTTGCAGCAGTGATAATGAACTCATGTACTCCAGAATACTGCACAAAATGTTACAAAAATCTCCCATAGGATAAACCAGTTAATAATAGGATTGGGCCAATTTACCACAGAATCCTATAATAAATGTCCTACATGAGGGTACAAAACCACACTTACTAAAACTTGAAAGTCAGGTGTAGTTATTTATCCTGTTAGTTTGTGTATTCAGGTGAAGGTTAATGTGGGATTATGAATCCTGGGATATTATAAAACAATGGTAACAACTATCTTTTTTTTTCCATTGTAAACACGTACACATACCTCAGTGAGGAAGTTTATTTTAAATCCCGTGGTTTTGTTGGTCTTTGGCTGACCATTGTTCAGGTAATTCCCCATTGCTAGCACAAACTGTTGAAGAGAGGTATGGAAACATTTAGATTTAAAAAAAAATATATATATATAAAAAATTATAATTAATTAAAAGTTAGAATACAACTGGCCTTTTAAAATTAGAGATAATCTTTTCCTGTGTCAAACTATTTACACCAATTTTTTTTTAGCCTTAAACACCACTGATTACATTTAACCAAAGTCAATGTAACTGTAACAGGTTTAGTTTGCTAAAATGGAGGCTTTGCCCCTGACAAATTTTATGTGTGTGTGTATACAAACATTCAATTAATTCATTCATCCATTCATTCATTTAATTGCTTGTTTGTTTGTTTATTTTGCTGTGGCACACATAGCAGATCATTTTGATCAGGGGAGGCAAAAGGACTCAATGCCCTGTGTGTTGTGACATAGTGACACATTACTCCTGTAATCATCAACAAAATTATCTGTAATTTGTGCCACAGTAGCCCTTCTGTTGGTTTGTACCACGCGAGACAGCCTTCATTCGCATCTCATATCAATAGGTCCTGGTTGCCTAACACCTTGTTGGCAGCTCTTCCCTCCTTGGACCACTCTCAGCAGGTACTCACCTCGGCTGACCATGAGCACCCCCACTAGCCTTGCGGTTTCCGAGATGCCCTGATGCAGTCATCTGGCCATAATGATTTGGCCAATGTCACCCAGATCTTTATGCCTGGCCATTTGTTCTGCATTCAACATGTTGACTACCAGTACCGAATGTTAGCTTACCGTCTAATATATCCAACACCTTGACATGCACCGTTTTTACGAGATATTCAACATTATTCACTTCAGCTGGGGGTGGTCATAATGTTTTGGCTCATATATATGTCCTTAATTTCATTATGAAAAAAATGTACAATAAAGTACAATAAAGGTCAAAAATATAAGGGATGTCAAACCTCAAGGATCTTGGCCAGTCTCTTGCTGTTCCTCAGCTCGATGGAAGCCTTCTGAATGTACTCGTAGCTGACCCTTAAGTCTTCCGTCTTCTCCTGCAGCGTTGTCTTGAAATGGAGACTCCTCAGACGTGTCTTGTAATCAGGAACTGACAGCATCTGTTGCCGGCCACAAACAAACAAACACATACAAATTATTCTTGGCAGGAGCCAATCGGAATGACAGCCAAAAGTGCAGCCAGCCAAGACAGCCTGCAGTAAAGCCAGAGGGGATCCCAGGGCTGATCAGGCACCTGAAAAACAAACTGGTCGGGCTCGCTCAGCTTGCTGGGATTGTGGCTGTACGGCTCGTACTGCTTCACTTCGTCCTCATCGGGAGCGTATAGCAGCAGCTGCCTGATGTGCGACGGCTCCAGCCTCTCTGTCATCATGGTCATCAGGACCTGCCGCAGCTCTGCAGGGGACAGCTTCAGGTGCGCAATCAGGATGGCTGTGAGGAGCAGCCGGACAGGTTAGACACAGTCTCTGAGGAGGACACTGCATCACACGTGAGCTCAAAGCCGTAGCAGAGAAATCTGAAAGTAAAGCGTCGACCGATGCAGTTAATTGAGCGTAAAATCAAAGATGGCTGCTGAGGTCATTCATTGGGCAGCCGTGTCTGGTGGTCACCTGACACGGGGCAGCGATCTGTCCACTGACGTGATGCAGTCATACTCACAGGCATTGTAGGCCTTTTTGTGTGAAAGAATCTCGACCACGTCTTTCTTTTTAAAGGTCTCAGGCAGGATGCTGGGTTCTGGGGAAGAGACTGACATGTTTAATCACAGTGTAAGGACGTGCGTTCTCGACACCGGTGGGCACCTACACACAGTTCATCTCTATACAATGTGATAAAGAGTGAGGTGCCAGTATGGAGAACATGGATGGTGTTTCTCAGAGGCTTTGAATAGATGAATTCAAAGGTCTCCAGAGAGAATGGCCACCTTGAGCAGAAACTGTAAACACAAGACAACATAAATCAGGCAAGTAGTGGTAAGATGATCTAGACAAATGTTGGATATAAAACTGTTCATTTTACCTTAATAGTTACATATTCAATTTGTCGATTATATGACATATATTATAGAATTTCCTGTATTAATTTTCTTTTATAGATTTGAATAAAACATGCTCTATATAAGTTTTTTGTGCTGCCATATAATAATATGCAATAAATTTATATATATATATGCAATATATATGTAATATGTCAAATCAAGTAGTTCATACAGTCTATACCAAGTGTATCAGTATGGATCAAACAAACAAACCTGTACTGATGCAAACACATGGAAGTCTGTTTTGACTCATGTCTACATTGCATTGGAAAGTACATGAAATTATATTTACAATGTAAATGAGAGGCAAACTACAAATATTAAGCATTAATATTCATGGCAAATAATGCAGATCGAGAGAAGGATTTGCCACCCAGTCTGGTTAAATCCAACTCGACAGCAGCAGCTGTTCTGTGTCCAAGGATGGGGTGCAGAGTATTAGCTGTGGTGATATGAGCCAATCAGGAAGCTGTTTACTCAGGACATGGTGGCGCAATGAGCATGAGAGCATGTGAGCATTTGCATAAAACCGCTTACTGGTCTTCCTCTGTGTTCCAAAGTGCAGCTCTAAATCGAGGTACTTCACCATGTCACTCAGCTTGTCGTAGTCAGAGTCCTCGCCGAGCTGGAAGGCCAACAGCTTTACGTTACTCATCTGTTATTCGCTCATTTTTATCAGATGCTGCTTACTAAATGTTGATTTCACACTAGTGGCCAGAACTGTGGAAACACCTAGCACTTTTGGAACAACACTTTAAAAATTACTACATGGAAATTGGCGGTAATGTCTATGAACAACTAAAGAATGTCACAAATATCATACAGTAGATGATGAGTAACAGGAATAAAGCAGTTCTACAATCTCTAAAAATTGGACGTGTTTCCACAATTTTGGCCACTAGTGTAGAGTGTTAGCCTGAGAAGGTGCTCACCTGCCCCCAGATGGTGCCCTCGGAGTTCTCCACCTGCTCCCAGCGTAGCCGCTTCACGCTCATATGGTTGGAGTCTGGGGTGTAGTGAGCAGACTGTGGCAATGGAGGGGGGATGCAGGGAGGGGGGGGCGGCGGGGGCACGGGCGGCGGGTGCAAAGAGCCCGACGGGCTCAGGTCACCTGACATCATGCCATCGTGGTGGAGAAGTGGGTGGGGGCTCTCATGGAGCTGATGTGCAGCCTGAGATGGGTGGGAATAGTGCACCTGTGACTGGGGGGCAGGTTTGGGTGTGGTTCTGTGGGCCTGATGGCTCGTGTGGCGCTGGATGGAGCGCTGGGCACGTTCGAGCGGGTGCATGGGCTGGGGAGACTCCTGGGGCGACGGGTAACTCGGGGGACCCGGGTAAGGCTGCCTCACTTGCTGGAGACCTGGGTCACTTGCGTAGCTGCTCTGGGGGACCAGGGGAATGTGGGGCAGGGTAGATGCATGCATCTGCTGGACCTGGAGGTCCTCGACGCTCGGCGACCTCTTGTGCAAAGACTGCCGGGTGGGCAAGTGAACCCGTGGGGGAGGAGGTGGTGGAGGAATGGGGTAATGCTGGAAGGGCAAGTAGGGTCTGGGGATATGCTCCGGGGAGAAGGTGACAGGCAGAGGGGGGTCATTAAACTGAATGGGCGGGGGCGGCGGGGGGCTCTGGGGAGGCGGGGGAATGTGGTCGGAGCTGGAGGAGTAGGTCAGGGAGACCCCATCTTCACTACTGCTCTGATGCTCATTGCTGCTCAGCTCGTGTGGTAGGAAGCTCGCCTCTTGCTCGTCCTGGAAGCTCATCTAGAAAACAGTCTGATGTCATTTTCGCCCACATTTAGACTCCATTTCTTTTTATTATCTTCACTTGTTTATCCCAAGTAGCTTTCATGTACATATACTTAATCATTTATATAGGGGCAGGTAACAGCAAGGTATCCAGAACAAAAGAGCAGATAGATAGATAGATAGATATATAGATGGATGGATGGATGGATGGATGGATGGATGGACGGATGGATATATAGATATATGGATGGATGGATGGATGGATGACTAGATAGATATATAGATATATGGATGGACGGATAGATAGATAGATAGATGGATGTATAGATATATGGATGGATGGATGAGTAGATAGATTTATAGATATATGGATGGACGGATAGATAGATAGATAGATGGATGGATGGATGGATGGATGGATGGATAGATAGATAGATAGATAGATAGATAGATAGATAGATAGATAGATAGATAGATAGATAGATATTCCGAATGAACCTTTAAAGACAATTAAAAACAATAAAATACTGAGCTAGAATACTGTGGATAGACAAAAATGCAGTTAAGATACGCACAAATCTGAGATAAAAATAAAAGATCGCCTCAATCCATAGGCTAGGTGACATTAAGGAGCTTCATATTTACTTATTCACTTATTTATTTTCATGGGCGCAGTACCAACCTCCTCATAATCTGTTTCCAGGGCCATGAAGTCGTCCACATTGGCGCCAGAGTGGCCCAGCTGCTCATTCAGGGCATCCAGGAACTTGTCCGTGTCCTTGCTGCGAGGCGGCCGCGAGAAGGTGAACAGCTTTTTCCGACGGGACGGCGGGCTGGGGGGATAGTCCTCAGCCTCGGGGGAAGGTGGGGGGCTGTCCAGACTGATGTAAGGGTTAGGATCAGTACTGCCTGGTGAGGGAATAGCCTGGGGATAGTCTCTAAACTGGGGGCTGGGCAAGGGTTCCGTCCATAAGAAAGTGGGGGCAAATTTTCCGTAACCTAGAGAGCAAAACACAATTCAGCTCAGACTGACATGATGCACACACATTTGTACATGTACTACTTGCAAGCTCTCGTCCTTTCTTGATATTCTGTGTAACGAAGCATAAGCAGAGCTTAGTTAATAATCAATTATATTGCAGCAGATAATGCCGGCATTATATAATTGGTCATAATGAAGACGAACTCACATGACGCCACTGCATCAAAAAGCTGATCACTTTAGTTTAGATCACTGTTTCCCAGTCTGGTCCTCAGGAGGTGACAGTCGGTCCATGTTTGCTCCCTACCAGGAACTGGGAGGGAGCAAAACCGTGGACTGTCTGTGGGTCGCCGAGGACTGGATTGGGAACCACTGGTTTAGAGTGTCAATATCTCAGAAACGAATCACACCACAGAAAAACATCGTCTGTCACACGCACATATGGCTGAGTGGAAAGCGTTGTGTACCTTTGTTAGTATGCATGGAGGGGCAGAGGGACTGTGCATGGGCTTCTGGACCAGAAAGATCATCTCGAGCAGGTGAAGAGTCACTCAGAAGAGACCCCCCCCCAGTCACGCTCTCGATCTCGGCATATTCTCCTGACATCTATGGGTTGGCGTACGGTTGGATTATTGAAAAAAAAATCTCCCAGTAGGTGTTTGCATGAGTGCGTTTGTAGGAATTACCCACGTTCTTTAGGTTTGAGGTCTCTGGGAGGGATGTGCCATCTCCGGATTGCCTCTCTCCTGGACCCAGCCTCATCCCCAACTCCACAGAGTTACTATAAATTCCTGAGAACCAGAAGAAGTGGTCTCCGAGACACGTGCACAGCCAGATGACACATCCTCAGACAGAAGCTATGCTAGACATGCTGGGTCATATATTGAAGCAGGACAGACCATACAAAGGCTGACACCTGCAAGAAGCACATGTGCCGTTGCATTGCTGTGTGCCTCTGCGTACCCACGACACTGACATAGCAGCACACAGCATGCGTGTTCTCTTATTAGCTAACCAATTAAAAATAACCATACATCTCATTTTCCTCATATCATTATTGTAATTTTATCATTTTATCACTTTAGTTGAGGTTTTTCCTCACTGGGATCTAATTCTGCAGGTAATTTTACTTTCAGTTCACTGGCAGGCTACATGAAATGCATTAACATCTTTAGGAAGAGCCAATACGAAAGAAAATAGGTATTTTCTTTCTGCAGTATTGAATGACTTTAGCAGCGTGATCACAGGCAACAGGGAAACACCTACAGTGATAGTAAGCTTTGGAGCAACAGGGAAACACCTACAGTGATAGTAAGCTTTGGAGCAACAGGGAAACACCTACAGTGATAGTAAGCTTTGGACAGCATGATTCCTGACTACACTTGTTTTTTTCAAATTCTACAGCTGTATAAAAGCAGAGGTGGATAGATCAGGTCCAGAAAGTAAAAATCCGGACCAAGATTTCTGGACCTGAACTATCCAACTCTGGTTAAAAGTGACAGATAGTATTACTGGATATTACTGCATGATTCTCAAAACTTCATGACTGCATACCAGTTTTATTTGTATCTCATTGCATTAAATTATGGTCGTCATTTATATTCAAGCTCAGTTGATTAATTAAATTCTCTTTTGTACCATGAAATGTATTCGATTTATATGATTTTATCCCATAAAACCTTACATGTTTCTGTATGAGCAAGTTTCATGAATTTGCCTTTAAGTCTGCGTGGATGGGAACTACACTATTTGGTTAAAAGGCAACATTGTAGCCTAGCAGAGTTGCCCAATGGCAGTGTGTAGACCAGTCCAACAAGTTGCTGGCCTAACAGGGATTAAAACAAGCGTCAATCTCACCAGAAAATCAGGACAAGAAAATAAGTCCATCACATCTCCTATGTGATGTGAGCCTCACTATCATTATTATTATTTGTCATAAAAAGCTATTACATGCCCTTCAACAAAACAGCTTTCTACTAAATAGAGGACCTTGGTAGTAGAACAGTCTGATAATAAAAATGCTCTCACCCACACAGGATAAACAAATCAAAACCTTCAAGAAGCTTCCCACACATCAGACTCAACTTGCCGCAGTGTAAGAAAATAACAGAGGTCGTTTAATGTACATCTGAAACGTTGTAGAGAATAAAGTGAAATCTGAAGGAATTCACGATAATCCTCAGCACATGTTCTTCAGCAAATGCGACCCGAGTGTCAGAGAACCTGCCATAGGATTCGTGTGTGGACAGGGGGAACTCCATCTGCAATACTTGAGCTATGCTGGAAATGTTAAAGTCACAGTTGTAAGTCATCACAAAGAAGACATTTATGCAACAATAAGGACAGGTATGGAAGAGTGAGTACCCATTCCCAGGTGAGTGCCTATGACTGAATCATCCGTGCTCCTTTCACGCACACTGGTCTTGTAGGTGGTTCCAGTTACTTTCACAGAGCTGCTGCGCCTGTGGGGGTCTGGGCCAGCCTCAGCCTCCTCTGCTGCTGACAGAACATAGACAGGGCACAATGCTCAAGTAGTTAACGTACAGGCCAACACATGACACCTGCAGGGTAGAAGACACATAAAAGCCACGGGTATGAGGACGCACCAGTGTTTCTGGTAAAAAAATACTAGTAGGTGACTTCAAATAAAATAAGTCCCATCAAAAGACTCACATTCATAACACAAAAAAGAATGAATAAATATTACTCAAGCGTACGTTGTAAGACATAAACACCAAGAATTTCCTCCAGCTTTACATATTTTCAGATAAAGTAAAATAGGATAAAAACTTTGCAAACAAACCCAAAAATACATGTAGGCCTGTCTGGCTGTAACATTTTAATAACAGCATTCTGCTACCGACTTGAAATCAAGTTACTTCCCTGTGCTACAGGGCCACGGCCTCCATGACGTCTGACTGTATCTCAGACTCATCGTCGTCGTTGCCATTAGACCTGCTTGGTTCCAGAAAATACTTTTTAAGGTTTGCTTATCTCGCCCCGTCTGATCTCACCCGTCACTGTTTGTTGGTATGTGATGCTTTATCAGAGTAAATGAATCAAATAATGGTTGCTTCCTTCCACATATTGGCAAAGCCTATTGACTCCACATTCATAAAAAAATGAAAATTTTTAAAATAGAAGGATATGTGGTAATTTCATTTTAACCTATTTTAAGACAGTTCAAATTGTGCTTACAGGGAATTATTTTCACCAGAATGACTGGAGAGATTTAAATTTGCTGGACTTAAACAGATTTTCCCAGGTGAAATCCGGTAAATACCAAATGAGGGAAACTATGGTACGCACCCGCCATTCTGTACCCAAGGAAGCGAGAGATCTTCTGCTGACAATGCTCCTGTTCCTCATAGGTCAGCAGCTGGAAGATGAAGCGCCAGATCACCTGCTTGGCTGGAGTATCTAGCACGGGAAATACGTCCACAATGAGTGTGTCCACGTTCCTGCACACAAGAGAGTGGAGTGGCCTACGTGAGATCTCAGGGCTCAGGCTCAGCAGGCATTCTGCATCTGTTCTACCAGTCGAACTGTCCTCAGCATCTGTTACCCCCACCTGTGCTGGAAGAAGGTCTCCAGGGCTTTGCAGATGGTGTAGCGTTCCTGAAGGGTAAGGAGGTGCTCCAGCTGCTGGCTGAAGGTGCGTCCATGGACCCGGATGCTGGACGGCAAGATCTCGGCCACCCACTGCAGGGAGCTTAGCACAGGAGAGCGGGAACGGGAACGGGAGCGCTGGGGGATGTCCTCCTTCTCCGGCTCGGCCAGTGTGAAGGTGAGAGGTCCGTCCTCCACCACCAGCGTGGGCATGGCGCCACTGCCTTGCAGCATGGACACGACCTTTTCATGGGAGCAGTTCCTGAAGAGCAGACACATAGACTTTATCTATCTATCTATCTATCTATCTATCTATCTACTTATTTGATTGTTTCCTTATGTTCATACCATTATTTTAACTTCGTTTTTCCACTGATGTGGAGACGATTAAAATGAGAACTTTTTATTTATGCGAAGTTGAACATATAATGAGTTGTGATCATTAAAAAAAACAGCGACAGAGCAATGGTTGGCATGATTACCAAGCACGCAGGTTGAAAACCAGATGCTTTAAAATTGTATTAAGTATATAGAATGTGCTTTGCACCAAGAGTTACTCAATTTTAACTGAAGAATGGAAATATCTTTTTCTATGCAGGTCTGCAAAGGTTTTTAAAACTGTTCTGTGTATAACAAAGCATTTTAAGTCTGCACCTCATGTCCAGTCCATTGAGAAATAGGATCCGGTCCCCAGGTTTAAGGCCAGATTTCTCTGCTGGACTTCCTGAAGGGCAGCCAGATAACATAAAGGCATTATTTAAGAATTCAATTTAAAAAATCAATCATGCAAACCTTCTGAAACAACATACCAAGACACAACATTCAGCAGCTTCAGGAAATATAAAAGCTAGTATCCCTCATGTAACCACCATGGCCTCTTTGTGTTACTGTTTTTGTTTATAATGGGTGACTTTGCAACAATGTTCATCACAAGTCTAATTGTGCCCTCTGTAACTCGGGAAAATGTTACCAAGAGGACAATATACCATGCTTTCCACACCAGAGCTCCTTTCTCCCTCCCCTCTTGACACTTGAACTCCATAATCCAATAGAACTTCCTACCTACTATCTACTATCTATTAATAAGGAATTACATCAATTATATATGCTACATGAATCTGTTTTACATTTATATGTTCTGTGCCATTTTACACAGTCCCTACCTAGCCTGTGTTTGTGTATATGTTTGTTTCACACCTAAGAAAGCATTTACTGCAACCTTCCACAGTGCTTTCCTGGGGCAGGGTACTGGAAGACAAAAAAACATCCTGAAAAAAATATATAGATGTGTGTGTGTGTGTGTGTGTGTGCATGCATAAATTCATGCACTGTACCAACATGAAGAAGAATTTCCTATATGACTGGCTTATTAGGATGGTATGGCGATATTTACTGCTGCTGTAACTATGTAAATGGAAGACTAGGCTGCCGAAGTGAACCAAGGGCTGTCACCTTTCGTTTTTTCGTTTGCTGACAGTAAGGCGCCAGTTCAAACGAATAATTGTTTGCTTTGCACAGTAGAAGAACAGCTTTCTCAAATGCCTGTTTCTCATCCTCATCTACATCACCTTTCAGTTAGTCAGTGACTGTCAGAAATGCAGATACCTCTGGCACACTTACAGTAATCGCTGCACATGACAGTCAGTGCTATTAATGGCAATTCCCAGGATTCCTAGCAATGGGAGTAGTGTTCGTTTCTGTCAACTCAGAGCCTTAATCCATTTCCCAGTTTCAGTCTTGGCTTTTTTGGGAACTGGGATATTTTAAAATGTATTCTTAAAAGTACACGGCAGCGATCATGATGTGTGGACAGCTGGATGTCTCGGTGACAGTGTTCATTATGTAACTGGTGTCGACCTTTTTCATATGCTCCATAATAAGCATTCTCAGTACTGCCAAAACTGTATTATGAAACACAAAAGAGACAAATTATGCAAAAAATTTTGTTTGTGTAACAACAAATACATAATCAAAAAACAGACAGCACTGCGTCATACCTGGAAGGACTGAGTCAATCCATACAGGCGCATGTCCGCGCAGCGTAAATCCAAAACTCGTGCCTCCCCTGAATATGCGCACTGTCCTGAAAATAAAAACCCAGGGCTTTACATTGTTTTTAAAAACGATAAGTGTACATTTCTCCCTTCTGTCTGTATACAGTCTCGTGCTATTCTTTAGATTACTGGCAGATATTGGCTTGGCTTTTGTGTATCTAGATAGATGCTTAATGCTGGTTTGCATGAGAGACACAGGTTGACCTCGCCTATGCTATCAGCCTAATTGCCACAGAAAACATCTTTGAAATAGGACAGATTGCATTGGGCAGCATAACGAGGAGCCTTGTGAAACACCTGTTCGCTTGCTAAGCAGCTCCTTCACTGTCATACAACAAAGAAAAGAACAGCATGAGCCGGAACTTGCTCGGGATGAGTGGCGAGGTATGGAAACACGCTAATGTTGCACCCCGGCAGCAGTCAGTTTTACTGACATTCAAGTAGCGCTTGTTTTGTTGTTATGGTAACTCTCCGGGATACGCCGCGAGTTACGGTGTCGTTGCTTTACATACACCGCCCACTCTTCCCAGCATGCTTGACCCCGTAACCCCGGTAAAAGTTCCCCTGTGGGAAACTTCAGACTTTGAAATTATCCCTCTACACACTCCTACCTGAGATCCCAGGGTAAGCACAGCGCAAACATTTCTCTCTTGCATTATAAAGTGTTCATCACCTTCTCTATGCAATGATTCTTACATACATCTCAGCCTGAACCTGCTGAACTGCAGTTTGCAGGATACAGGTATCAGCATTTTCGCTCCCTTAATTTTCATACTGCGCACAACTCAAGATCATTCTGTGAACATTAATGGTGCATAGTTCAGTACTTTAAAAGGCTAAATGTTATCTCATAGTTATCTCATTTTCAAACGTCATTCAGCATCAATGGCTGATTTATTTCCTACATTTGAAACAGCTGACATTTGTAATACTCTTTCAAAGATTACTGTTAATTGACAGCATAAGGATTGAGACGGTACTGATGTGGGGTACTGACCTGCGGTTGGCTCCCCCAGAGGAGTTCCCAGCAATCAGTGAGGTCGTCTTTCTCAAGCCCCTGCTGAGCGGCGCGTCCTCCTCGCCGCCAGCCCTGGGCACGGAGCTGGCTCTGGTGGACACCTGCAGGCGCTCAGGGTGGTCCTCGCTGCGGCTGCGGTGCAGCCGGTTCTGCGCCGAGTCATTTAGACTCTTCCTGCGGTACAGCCGGTTGGCCAGGCTTTGAGAGACGACCTCGTCGAAGCGCTGCCGGTGCTTCTTGGGAATGAAGATCCTGGCAAACATCACACAAGGAGGCGCACGTCAGAACCGCAGCGGGAGCCGTCCATTCGCCCCTCAGCGAAGCACCCCCCGGACCATCAGGAGTCCTCCTGCCGTCTGACTGTGTGCCAAGCACCTGAGCTCATAATGGCACACTTTTCATCCAGGGAGAACTAAAGAAGGTGGAAAAGAGGAACAAACTGGATATAGGCACTGGCAGACAAGTGTTACTGTGCGTTAAGGTGGCTGAAGTGCCAAATAAATTAATTAATCGATAATAACCTGATGAAATTACTTAATGAATATTAAGCTATTTAAATTTTTTTATTATTAAATTTATGTTCCGCAAATGGGGAAAAAAAGTGAGTGCAAATTAGTAAGCAGTGTACACCAGTGATCAGTCCTAGTCTTTTTTATCCGTAATCCACAAATGCTGATATGGGAAAAAGGGGGGGAGAGGGAAATCTCTGTGAAACTAGCAGGTCCCAGTGCCGATTCTGAAGTGTGTGCGTTCAGTCAAACCAGCGGGTGGAATGCACAGAGAGCGGCCACAGCACGTATGTGGGAGGGAGTACAGTAGTACACAGCCACCCCTGGAGATGAGATGAACTATCTCTCTCTCTCTCTCTCACCCGCTCTCGCAATCTCGCTCCCGCCCTTAGTGCGGTAAATTCTCATTACAAATACTTCTATACATTTAGGCGCAGTAGGCAGTCGCTCCACTTCCGTGGTGCATAGTTGTACGAATGTAAAGCGAACCATCACGTCCCTCTAACGAAGGAGAGCGGCAAGTGCTAACACCCGGTGTTTCAAGGGAAAAGACTGCATTCTGACCTATTGATAAAGTTTTCATGGGTAACGCAGTATTGTTTAAGGAAGCACTTCCCAAAGGCATAGCTTGGCTTTGTGACGCAACAGAATACATTAAATCTATTTTGCCTATGCACAAGGAGAATAAGAACAATGAAGAGAACATCACGACACCTACAGAACACCTCTTCACTTCCTTCTATAGATTCACTCGACCTTGTTACGTATGTGGCTATGTGTAAAAATGGAGCAAACTTGCTGCATGCATACAAGTTCATGCTGATGCAGTTAATACAAGGCTGTCTTTCTGCAGAACTGCTTTCCTGTTGAAGGGCCCACACATATATTACAAACCACTTCTACTTGAAGCATGACTCACTCTAAGCAAGATCATTATTTAGTTATTTATTCAAGAAAATATGTGAGGCTCTAGAACAATCTGAAAGACATCTCTACACAATGAACGGCTTTCCATGGTGAGGACACACTGTGCTTTTGTTACGACTCTGTGGCCAGCTTCCAAATAAATGCCTCACTTAGCAGTTGTTCTTTTTTAAGTTCTAGAGCTTGTTTATGATTTTTGTTTTACAGTGATAAGTGGTCATTGAATCATTTTCATCCTTTGCTGTTAGTGTTTTTTTTTTTTTGATAGCTCGCTTTTGGACACCTGCACAACACAGTGAAGTACAGTAGAGTGTTGTGGTGACTGCCTGTGAACAGGTCATATTATTAATTTTCTTTAAATGCTTCTTTCAATACTGTCCTTGTAAGAAAACCTGTAAAATCTGAATCTATTCTTACAGTAATGTTATGACTTAAACGAAAATAAACCAAAGCAGAAGTTCAAACCATGTACCCAGTGTTTCTTTGACTCTAAAATCGGAATGTTCCGGAATTATACTGTGGTTCTTGTATTTGAAGTAAAAGAAGCGCCTTTTTTAAAATAAAGCAGTAACTATGACTACCAAAGATTCAGCCTTACAGTATCGGTTGTTTTAGTAATAAATTAGAATGATGAATAATGCGCAGGGGTTCACCTTACGTCTGGATAAAACATCAGCTAATTTCATTGGTCCAAACATTTACCAAAATGAGAAAAAAAGAGAAAAATTGTGAATAGCAAAGTGTTATTTTAAGGAAATGTATGACAATGGGGAAGACGCTTAAGTCCCATCAATCCATCTTCTATACCTGCTTGTCCCATGCAAGGCCGTGGGGGTTCGGGGCCGATCCCGGAAGCAATGGGCACAAGGCAGAGAATAACCCAGGGTGGGGCACCAGCCTTCACAGGTCAGGGCCTAACGTATAATATATCATTTGTTTCTGTAGGCGTTTTTGGAATGGCCACTGCCTGCAGCTACATTTTGTTCAAACTTTTTTTTTGTGAGACCCTGATATTAACAATGTTCATGCGAGTCTGCTCCACACACATATGAGGAATAGGCCGGCAATAAAAAAAAAAACGTTAAGGCTGGTCTCCATGGAAACTGGAAGAGTACATTTAAATGATGGGAAGCTTGAGTGTGTTGCTTTGTGACATAGACATATATGTTAGATTTGCAAACTAGAATGAAGCTGCTTGTCCAGATGACAAGCTGATTGGTTACCGACAGTATTTTATTTTAAAGTATATCCATGGTTAATTGCTCATTTTAAATGTAAGTTCTGTGTGCAACTTTTTATTATGTTTTTAATAAATGTATTTCAAACCGTTGATTTAGAAAACTAAAAGATCTTACTCTTTCTAATTCAATATTTATACCTGACAATGTTTAATAACTTTTGCCTATTGATGCAATTAATTAATTTATATTTAAGTGCTGACTTCATTTGTACTTCTTAAGTTAGTGCCCGTTTCTACAACTAATATGCAAAATTCAATCTCTGGTTTTCTTTTTCATAAGAAGTAGGTTGTCTGAAATAGAATGGGAAAAGTCCATTGAGAATATTTGGGATGTTAGCCAATTGGAAAAGGGGACATTGTGGACATTGTATGTATAACCAGTCAAGGGTTAAATTGCATCACTATATTGACCATAAGCATATCAATAGACTTTGAAGAATTTAAGATGCATGCATTGTAATTGTTATTTTATTAATCATTTTATATTCTAAATGTGCTCTACAATGGACTGGAATGACATCAAGGGGGTTACTGGCCTTGTGCTGTGCTGCCTTGGATTGACTTTATGACCCTGTACTGGATGAGCGGTTGGAAGAATGATGGATGCATTGATGTAGGAGTTTCCAACTCTGTTCCTGGAGAGCTACTGTCCAGTAGGTTTTCTATCTTATCTGGCTTCTGCTGAGCCACATCTGTTCTCAGGAACATACCAGGAGCAGGTGTGGCTCATCAGAAGCCAGGTAGGATAGAAAACCCACTGGATAGTAGCTCTCCGGGGTCAGAGTTGGAGACCCCTGAATTAATGGATGTCATAGCAGCAATGACTAGCCATCTGATACATTTTAGACATTTCACGTTCAAGACTGTATTATTTAGAGCTTCAAAATAACATTGAGCAGTGAACAAACCTTCTTGTTAATACAGCTAATACACTTTCAGATATATGCATTATGACCTATAGGTAGTTTAGGTCATAAACTTAGTTTTATATTAATTTTGTAGTATATATTATAGTTATGATATCGCAAAAGATAATGTAATAGTATAATTGTAATTAAGTGTTTAGCCAGGGCTGGGTGTGGATTTCAGGTCAAAAGTTCTTTGATCACCTACAATGGCTTTACCACTGTTTCACCCCAGACCAGACCACGTTCAGTTTTGTGTTGTAACGCTTGTATTGTCTTCCCTGCCTCTCTCTCCTCCAAAGCCCTTATTATAAACTCCCCACACCAGCCTCCCATCCCTGCGTCACATGGTTCTGTAATCTTATTGTTTTCAGATATTTTTCAGTTTTTGAGATATTTTCCATTCCATCAACAATAACATGTTCTGTTGCGCAAACATCAACTGATACAATTTTCAGTAACTCTCAGTCATTTTCAGCTTTTTTTTTCATTTACTCCTACTTGATACAGTTGATATCCTCATACATAAGTATCTGCCACATCATCACAGCTAGTTAATTAAAGGTCACCCCAGGACAGGGGCACCGTAAAGGTGGGGACATTTAAAACAATTCCAAGGACCCCTGAGCGACAGGGGCCCTAAAGAAATTTGGAACATAATTGGATTGGTCTGGGTTGGGAGCCCAATATGATGTGCTTTCACGGGGCCCAAATCTCTAACGACACCCCTGCCCTGGGATCAGAAGGGTATCAGAAGCCAAAATTTAATGGGAGTGAGAGGTGTCAGAAATTCAGGATCAGTGTCATTATTCTAGTAATTTGCATTGCATTATAACAAACAGAAATGCTAATAATAGTTTCTTCAACTTATTCACCCAAAACTTCACTTTTTTTTTTAAACTTAATTAGTAGCAACATATGAAATAAGTAAGAAGAAACTGAGACAGTATGTATAGATCGGCTGTCTGCATTATATTCTAATTGGGTTTTTGAGAGCTCAGTATTCCGTTAATAACTCATAAAAAGTATGTTTCTGTAAGTTCACACTGGTGGCACATTAAATGTGAGAAAACATGGAGGGGCTTCATGCTGCAACATGATTGGACGGTTGTCTTCATGACCCACATGCCTGACCTTGCATTTCTTAACTAGAACTAGGTTTCTGGTGCATGTCAGCCCTCATGCTGGTAGGCATAATGGCTACCTGAAGAGGAGTTTTAAAGGGGGTCACAATTCCCTTATGAAATCTCAAGTCTCAGTCACAACACTTCCTGCAGTGACAAAGGAGTAAAATGCAGCCACATGTGTCTTTACAGTCAGATTGTGCTATTAATGATGTAATGGGAATTTAATGTGCAAGGTTACATCACGTGCAAATCAAGGTACGCTTGCATGGGTGGAAATTATTATATTAAGATTCAGAGCACTGATCCGTATGCTGTTGCTGTATGGAAAAATGTGTGGGATAGATACACATTGGTTAACGTGCAGCTTATTTGAAGAAGTATTAGATGGAACACAGGTAAATATTAGCCTTAAAAAAGCCAATGCTTGCTGAAAGCTTTTATATACGGCATTGCCCATCTTAGTTATTACATTTGACGATGACGATGATTCACCAACCAGTGAAATCCAGTACAGTGTGTATTTGTCATATACATTTATGTGAAGTTTAAGTTATATATTTAAGAGTTAATTTAAGAAGTATATTGTCATGTGCATGGTAAAAACACTCAGTTACACCATACAATGAAAATCTTACTCTACATGTTCTTTCTGGGCACAGTTGACACATATCAAACATAAGACACAATATCAAAGACAAAGTGCATTATAAATGAATAAGCACATGCGTCACCCCCTAATATATTTGTCACATACCCTAAACTTAACATATAACAGGCCCATCATAGCATCTTATAATAAATCCAATCAATTTCTACACTGGTTACATCTTGAAGAATGAAAAAACCACTGACATAGAGGAACACTGGAGACCCACAGACATGCGACTGACACTCATCTTTTTACGTGACTAATCCATCCCAGCCAATACTCCAGCTGCATCATGGTAACACTTACTGCCTCGGGTGACTGAGTATTTTTAGGATACTGCAGACTCCTCCTGATTGAAGGACGTTGTAAAACTTGCCCTTGAATAGAACAGTGACATGAAGTCTGGATGAAGGGACTTTAGCAGCGGGATGGAAGTAAAATAAGAGTATGGGGACAATACAGACAGAGGAAACCATCATGGATACTGGGTCACCTCTGTCTGAGAGGGCGACATACTGGGGGCCAGAGAAAAGAAAACCTAATGTTACATAATGATTGGCTGTTCGGACAAGATGAACTGAGTGAATAAACTCATCCCCAGACCACCGCCCAGTTTGGATGTGTAGTCTGACTCTTATGTACAAAAGGATTCAGTGCCACCTCAATGTCAGTATACTGTCAAACAGCATACTTTGGCAATACAGGAGGGACAATGCATGACTGATATGCAAAGTGACAAAGTACAGACTCACCAAGTATTCATGACACCATATTCTGTGTCATTTAAAATTTTATGAAGCATGTTATAAAATTCCACTTTGAATCTGATTTGCAGATTTCAGTGCATTTTTCCCAGAGGACCTGCATTTATTCACCCCCAACTCTAGCCCCCCCCCCCACAGGATTTAATTAATTACTTTCATTGATTTGCCGACATATTCCCAAAGTGTCTTCATTTTATGCATTTATGTCGATGGAAATTTGATGTGGTAATTACGTATGAAGAATTGTATGAACAAACTCTTTCTAATGAATTATACCAAAACACAGATGATTAAATGTGGTCCCAAGAGGATGTGTCCCTTTCATGTCCCTTTCATGTTCCTTTCATCTGCATGTGCAGCTCCTTATTTTCCACACGTGTGACTTTTTTGTGTTCATTAGCTCATGAACTTGACGAACTCAAACCTAACACTGCCATCTGTTGTGAGTTTTGCCGGTCACAGGGTACAATGCTGAAAAAGACTGCCGCTCACTCATAACTAGTGCACAGCAGTAATTACAAAGACCAGGGAGAGTAGTCGCCCTAATTTCCTTCCTTAATGGAAAGGCTCCTGGATTAGCTGCAGATCCCAGTTCCATCCCCCACTCCTCACGTTCCTGCTGCTCCAGATGGTGTCTACCTACATTAGACTCACACGCTGTAGCTTCTCATGTCTCCTTTACAATATGCTCAGGATTTTTAAAGGTCTTGTAGGACATCATTAACTCTCAAATGGCATATCCTCCAGATATCTGTCTCGTCTTTCTCGTACGGTGCAGTAATGCATATAATATATGTGCTTTTGACGTTTATTCACATGGTGCAACAAAAGCATTCTTGACTTTACCAGCATTAACTCATAGCTCATAAATTTATGCATTCAGGAATAATTTTCCAAAATAATTTTTAATATCCCTATGAACTGATATGCAATCATAATTATATATAGTTCTTAAAGGGTGTCCTACAAGGTCATTTGAAATGTAAAATCCATCCATTCATCCATCTATCCATCTTCTAATTGCTTATCCTAGTCAGGGTCATGGGGAGGCTGGGTTACATCCTGGGTGGGAAGACAGGCTATTTCAGAGTAAATACATACACGAGAGGTGCAAGTTAGCCTGACTGCATGTCTTTGGACCTCAAGAGGAAACCAAAGAGCCCAAAAGAAACCTGCATGACACAGGGTGCAAATTCCACACGTACAGAACAGAGGCTGGATTTGAACCCCCAGCCCTGGAGATGTGAGACACTGTGCCACCCCATAATGTAAAATATATCCAAAGAAATTATCATATCCTTAATGCATTGTATTGCTTACCACAAATGACCTGAACAGCAAAGAAATGCTATGGCAAAAGCACACTGTCACTCCAGCTTGTCACTTCTCAGTGGTGACACACTTCGTGTGACATTCTAGATACACCAGTCACCTTTATCCAACCCGTGATGAGCCAGACCTTTAGCTCTTAGCAGGCGATCACGCCCACCATAAAAAGGAAGACCCAGAGACTGAAACAAAATCTATTCCGCATTTTTAAAAATTTGAATGTTTTCTTGAGAATAGTCTATCTTCCAGCTGCCTATCCAGCACAGGTTAGAAGTGTGGGCCTTGAGCCCATCCCTGGAAGCTTAGCGCACATGGTGAGGAACACCCTGTAGGCCTCAGAAGGACACACTCATTTGCATGCTATGGGCAATTTAGAGATGTCAGTTCACCTTACTGGAGTGCCCACAGGAAACTATTTGGCAACTCCAAAAGCACAGAGCAGTGGTAGGGTCCAGGCCCCTATCCATGGCGGCTTTAGGCAACAGCGCCACCCGCTGAGCCACCATATAGCTGTCAGCATGTGAATATTATACACTAATATAGAACATCAATACATATCATGGAGTTTTTGATGACGGGTGGTTCAGAACACCAGCGTGTCATAAGCATCTGGACCACAATAGACACGCCCCCACAAAACGCAAGCAAAGAGCTTTGCAATCATCTCTATGGTTACCTGATATTGCCGATGAGTTGACGGTGCTCCTCAGTGGTCAGAATGTCTGGTAGGATGGCGGCCAAATATTCCACCTTCCTCTCGGTGGCGTACTGCTTTAGCACTGAGAACAGCCTATTCTTCACCTCGGGCTCGTCTCCCAGGACCTGCTCGATCTGTAACATGCACGAGGACACTCCTTAACCCACAGGTAGCAGCGACATCAGCATCAACATTTTCACCACATAAACCGACCTGCGTTTAGGATTTAGAAGTAATATTTACAAGGAAAATGTTGACGCGAAAGAGAACCAGGATGCTAGAATGCTAGACCAGAAGCATGAATGTTAAGTGAACGAGAAGTCATCAGAAATGGGGTGGATGTATTAGTTGGACTGTATCTTCTGTAAGCCCTCCCTAAGTTATTGATGGGGATGAACCCTGATGACATCAGTCCCATGGGGTTTTCATTTGAAGCTCAAGGCCGCCCCTGACCACACCAGACCAAATCAAGGCTCACCTTCTTGTTAAACTCAATGGCTTTGTGTTTCCGGTCCTGCCGCAGGCCGTCACCGCCCTGGTGGAACTCTTTAATGCTTCCACCAGCGCGGCCCTGCTGGTTGGCCATGCACAGCACGCCCAGCCGAAGCGTGCGGCCCTGCGACGCCTTGATCATGGCTGCGGCCGTCTCGTGCTGCCGCACAGGAATCCCATTGACCTCCATGACATAATCTCCTGCTCTCAGTCCACTGCGCCCAGCTGGGGAGTTTGGGGAGCAGTCCTCCACCAGCAGGGGGCAGTCACCAACTATAGTGAAGCCAAAACGACCATCAGGGCCCGGGGTGATGTCTATCTGTAAGTCAGAGAAATTAAGTTATTTAAACGTTTCAGAAACTGACTTAACCAAACTTGGACACTAATATAGTAATGCCATGCTCTCTGATGTCTTAATTTGCTCATTTTCATATTCCAGTAGCAGATGGTATAGGAATAGTTACTGTGACACATTGTTTCTCCTAAGAATTATTATCTAGTGTTATATAAATAATGGTTCTACTGCCTTTGGTGTAATTTGTGCAAGAATTTTAATTGGACTGAGGGAGAAGTATGGTTTTATGAAGCATGAGATGCATGACTGTGGACTGAGTTTTAGCCCACACACACAGAGTGAGTGACAGAGACATGACTGCTGCTCAGTTCTGACCTGCTGTATGCGTGACACCACGCCGATGCTGGGAGGGATGTTCTTCTGGGCCTGGGCCAGGGCAATCAGGGCCTGCGTGCCGAGAGTGGACACATTCTGCCCTTCGATCTCCAGGACCTGATCGCCTGGCTGCAGCCCAGCGAGGTGGGCACTGCTCCCCTCCTCCACAGACAAGATGTAGCTGGGCCCATTGCCCCCTAGGCGGAAGCCAAAGTCCTCTGGCCAGCCCTGATTGGAGGCTGGCATTGTCAGGACTTCACAGGCGAGAGGACAAGAAAACCAGTTTAAACAATGTAACATTTACCTGTAAAAATGGTAATACAAAAGAACCACACACATCTCATTATATCTAGTAAAACAGCTGTGTGCTGATACATAACATATAACTGCACATACAGAGAGTACACACAAACAACACACCCATTCAGAGGGACACAGAAGATTATTTAATCGGTTCAAAAATATATAACAAAACATCTTTAAATGGTGGGGCAATGTGTGGCTCAGCAGGTGAAGCTGCCGCAGACTGGGAGGTCACTGGTTTAAATCCCAGGGTCGGCAGAGTGATTTCGCCACTGGGCCCTTGAGTAAGACCATTTAGCCCCTAGCTGTTCCAGGGACTGTCTGATCCTGCTTTCTCAAAAATGTACGTCACTTTGGATGAAAGTATCTGCTGAAAAAATACATATAAACTGCTTGTTTGATTAGCTAATGTGAAGCAGCTGGAACTTAAGATCTTACATATAAAATCAAGAAAAATCACTTGAAGCTGAAATGTGGTTTGCCACGTTCATCAGATAACAGAATATCCTGTAATCCTTTATTTTATCGCATTTCCTGAAGGCTTCCTGAGTGCACATTACAGCACACATTAACTGCAAAGTCCCTGTGAGCCTTTCCTGGATCGGAGGATGAATGGATAGATGGAAGTATTAATCACAAATTGAATTATCTATTAATGTTATCTCAAGCACAGCATAAACACAGACTCAGACAGTCACAAACACATTCATGTATTTCAAAATCATGTGTAAATATGAATGATTTTTAGTATCACTGTACGTACATAATTTCTAACCTAATATTTAGAGATGGTTAACCTAACTCTCAAGCAGCACAATAGAATTACAGATAAAATACAGCTTTACTCACAATGAATATATGAGCCAGATGTTTTCATACATATGAATTATTGGTTTTATTTGCTACATTTAGGTAGTAGGAGAATTTGTATCAAAGCACGTACTGGATTAATACAGATTGGATACTGGAACCTAGAGAATGTTGATTTATAAAATGATAATATGCATAAACAAGATTTGCATTTCTTATATATAGAAATATATAGTCTGAAATGCCTGATTGACAAATGCCATTCCTATTGTTTTCATATTGGTAATTGCATTGTCTATATACATTTCAACACAAAAAAAAAAAATTGTACTGGACCCAAAGGGTTAAAAGGATTTGTACATCTCTCCTCTCGATGAAGAAAGAGGAGCCACAACAAACTGACTTACAGAAATCTTTAGATGCATAGCGAGAGCCAGACTTGCTCTGGCGGAGAGAGTGTCTCCCTTTCCGATTTTGCAAAAACTTCTTCATTTTGCTTTGCTTCTCTGAGGCTCCTGTTTTAGGCTTGAAAGGTATCAAGCAAGCAGATGCCCCATATCCGTCTCCTCTATACCATGATGGCGGAAACCCCTGCAGACCACGGCCTCGCTCGGGTGAAAAAGATCCCAGCTCTTAAAAGGTTTCACATCAAAACAGGCAGTCCTGATAAATATCTCCCGTCCAAAATGAGAAAACTAAAAAAGACGTCAAGAGGACTGTGGCTAACATCCGTAGGCTGTGCATCGCTACTGAAATTCAGCAAATGTGCTGTCATCAGAGTTTGTGTCGTCAAACTAGGACACACTGGCAGGGTTTTCTCTCTTAATAGTTTTCTTGTGAAATGGTACTCCGAAGACCCATTTTTCTATAAATACTCCCCCCCCCCGTCCACATTCTATCTCTCTCCCTATCCTTTCTGCTTCCTCTCTTATAGCGCCGTATCTCTCAGAGGGATAGGATCTGGCCCAGAAACAACACAGCAAACCTGGGACCCACAACGCACGGCTGTAGAGCCGCGAGGCTGCTTAAGCCCCTGCTCTGGATTAGCAGGATTAAACAAAACACGTGAAGATCCACCTCACGGCCCGGCAGACACGCGTCCTCATATCGGTGTGGCAGATCTACAGCCCTAACCCCTCAGGCTCACCAAGCAGAGCAGCAAACGGAATGAGCAGTAGGCATCAAATGAAATGACTGATTGCAGCCATTGGGTTTAATAGGGCCACTAGACAATATTCACCTTGATTGTTCTTGAATACTTTATCTTCCTCCCATGTGGGCCATGTTCCTCACTCAGGATATAGAGCATCAAGGGAATAAAAAAATGCAAATACATAATGGAACTTTTATTAAAAAGTGTAGCTGTTTCTGTTCTGTGATATTACCCCTGTCATATGACATTTAGGTGATACTAAAATGAAACGTACCTTAAGGAACATGGTATATAACTCAAATGTAAATGACAAACTAAATAAAATCTGTGAAAATGGCACACAGAAAGCAAAAAAAAAGTTTTAAATGAAAAGACATGATGACATATTATGAATATCTTGCTTATCAAAATGCCACATTGTGATTTGATTAGATTTGGCATCCTCAGCCCTGAACTTCATGATTACTCATCAAATCAAGAAAAAAAAACAAACAAAAAAGACACCATTAAACAAATGCTGTCTCTGTTAGCAATTAGAAGTGTGATTCACTGAACTTAGGCCATGATGACTTTGGCAGGGAGAGCTGAATAATTTAGCAGAACTGCTTGTATCTCCAAACAGACTCTGTTCCTCGCTAAAATTCTCATCTTACATGTCACCCAAAAAGACCACTCAACTTGTCAAATTTGAATCAAAGGCCAGGGGAAAAAAATTGTGTTTTAATTGAAGTAGCATATAAAAGTAATTTTGTTTCTTTACTTAAAATTGAAATGCAGCAGTATATTATATCTTGATTTTTAAAGAAGGAAATTAAAATCAATAAACAAGAAAGATTGGTACATGTAAATAAAAATTTAAGTGGCATAAATAACATATTGATTGATTAACGCCTGTGCTAACATTTCATTTACAGGATCCACTGCCAGTACATGGTGAACTGTGGACAGGTAGGAAAGCAGACGGACAGGAGCCACATCAATAACGTTACGCTATAAAAACGCACCATATAGTTAGATCCGAAGATGTAAAGATGTGCAGTAAGCAGTGACTGTGGAAAACACAGCTTACCCTACATGAATTCCTTTATTTATCTATCATTAAAACCCTTATACAGTATAAATACTTGGCATTTTTCACTTTATGTTCTTGGTATATTCATTTTAAAAATACATCAGAACAATAAATGAGAACAGGACTGGTTTATAAGAGAATGCAACAGTTATCACAACAAACAATGACAGTTCAAGTTCTATTCTGGAACTCAGGAAATCTGCTGCCGCTTTACAGCCTTAAGATTAATTCAGATGCACAGTAGAATATAAAGTCTTACCCTTTACCAAGCAGGACTCAAACGAAGCTTCAAACGTTGAGCAGGAAGTCAAACATGGAGCAGAAGCACCTGAGAGCTCCTGAGCTGGGCCACAACCGACTGAACCTCATGCCTCTCACCCAGGCTAAAACACGTAACATGAGAATCGATTGGGGGGGATGCAGGACTAGCAACCTGAGCCTGCACCAGGTTTCACATGATGCCCAGTGAATAACAAAGGCAGCAATGCTGGGGGGAGGGGGGGGCTGCAGACCAGATACTTATTGTATAAAAAAATGTCATTTTTTCATGCAATCAAGTTTCAAGTTCAACTTTATTGTCATATACAGATAATGGTGCATTGTTACTATTAATAAAATTCTTGGGCTCATTGTACCTCAAATATTGCACTGTAAAATAACACCTAACACATAATTTGAGTAAAAATAAAATGTTTTAAATAGTATAAGTAGTAAAACAGCAAACAGTAAAAAGGTGCATAGTAAACTTAGTGTTTAGCGCATAGTGTTATTGTTTAGCATTTGTAGTACTTATGAACTGACTGTAGTCTTAAATCAAAACAAAATGCCTGTTTAGTAATGATGCATGCTGGGAAGGGCTTGCTAAGGTGGGTGTCATGTACTAAGCTGGTTCTAAACAGTATATGTTATGTTGGCAATAAAAGAAGCCATGGCAGTCTTTATCTAAAAGGTCACTAGTAGTTCTGTTTAGACAGAATAGTATCCCTAACCTTTGTAGAATGGCTCTTAGCCGCCTGACAATGAGTGTGTTTCTAGAGAAGAGAAGACACCTCCAGATATCCCACACTGCTTTGCTTCTCCTGGTATACTTAGGGCAGTCTGTACGCTGTAGCTCAGTGGGATAGGACTGCATTCAGAAGGTCACCGGTTCAAATGGTGGAGCTTATCCTAAGGAGCATAGCGCACATGAGAGCAAGGCGGGCAAGGAAAGCATGTCTTTGGACTGTGAGAGGACACTCAGGGAACAGAGACCACACAA